CAACCATGGGTTATTCGTGGCTATCCTGGTTGGCTTTTGAGAAAGCTCCCCTGGGACAACGGACAGGCCCATCTGGCACTGGTCAAAGACAATGGCGGCCACGTCAGGTCGACGAAGGAGCCGCTGAGTTTGAGGAAGCTTCCACGAGGAGGCACGCTCAGGATGTTCAAGTCCAAAGAAGTCCTCGTGTTCGACCTGCTCTTGACAAGCCTCCAAGGAAAAATTCCACATCAGGGTGCCCTCATGTAGATCTCGAGACAGTTTGTCAGGAGTCATTCGCCCACGATTGATGTTCTGCAGGGGTGAGAAGGCCTTGCAAACAGGAGAAGCCATCAGCATCTTGGGTCTCTTCTTCTTCTGAAATCGCCTGAAAACCTGTCGATGTGCCTTCTTTCTCACATCCCAACCACCCTGGAGATCAAAGACCTGATCTTGCGTCCGAAGTCCAAGACGTTGGGCATAAGGAGACACCCGGGGTGGTGAGAACAGCTCAGCAAAGTCCACGTGCTGATTGGGGCGCTGCTGTTCCTGTCGAGACAGGCGGCAGAGATTCGAGGCACATCGTTGGAGATCTGTCGAAGTACCCGCCTCAGAAATCCAAGAGTCAGTGAGAGCCCCAGCTGCACTGGCCAGATGTTCAGACTGACCAACCCAGAACATGCCCTGCTCGGAGAGGTGCCCCTCAGAGTCCAAACGAATGAGAGGTGCCTCAGTAGTGGTCAGAGCAGCAAGCCGCATAAAGTCCAACGGCAAAGTCCAATGAATCACCCATAAATCCAAAGGTGTAGCAAAGTCCAAGGTGTGTGCTGGCTTGGGGCTATCTTCGATGATCTCCTGAGTCTCTGCATTGATGACCCGACGCCAAAGGCAGCAATGATCAGAAACTGGAGGGCACTGCAGTTGAGAGCATGAAAGGAAAGTGCTGGGCTGAGCCTGAGCAAAATTGGGAATCCAAACTGGTGGTTGAGAGATCCAGTCCAGGTCCTCCTCCAAATGTCCGAAAAGTCCAAAATCCACCTCCTGGGTGCCGCCCAGGTCATACTGAAAGACATAGGTCTCTTCGGAGGGATGACATACTCCTTGCAGCTGGCTCTGGAACTCCGGAGAGCATTGGTTCCAGGAGAGCAGTGTGGAAGCTCCACAGACGCCGGCTAGCAGCATCCACCTCGGCCAAGACCTCAGTGATCGCTGGTCTGATGGTCGTTGGGGTTCTGAAGTTCTCCCGTCACTGACGACCAACGGTCCTCCTCCATATTGTCCGCAGTGTTGAGTTCCGCAGCTGGGGACTCGGCTCCGGGACTCTGCAACAGCATGATCATCTGGGCTTGACCTCGTGCAAGTTCCTGGAGAGATTGGCCCACCTGTGTCATGGCGGAGTTCATCTGAGTGCCCTGCATCTGGAAAACTTGGAGGGCCTGCTGAATGGCCTCTGAACTGTCGGATGCCACCCCTGGGGACGCAGCTGAAGGCGTCGTCCTTCGAGGGGGAGTCAAGGGAGTTGTCTCGTGCACTGATTGCATGCCCTCGTAGTAGGGAGATGCTAGTGCCGATGCTCGCCCCTTTCCCTTGCCCTTCGCACTGAATCTCTTCGACTGGTACTGCACTCGAGCTGAACACTTGCCGCACACCTTCCAGCTTGCATATTGGTTTGAGCGGCTGATGATCAGCTCCACCGGGTGAAGGCATCGGGCTACAGCATGTCCCGCATGGAGAAGCTGTTGCAAAGAGCGGCAGCTCTTGGTGTGGAGCTCCGCCTTGACCAGCAGCACATAGTTGAGGCGACTGACCTCCCACGCCAACATCATCGCCTGCATCAACTTGTGCCATAGGCGAAGGGAGTTGTGTCCCGTCGTCTCTGAGCTGAACCCGTGGCTTGACGGAAAGCCGTGCTCCATGGCGAGTCAGCTGAGTATCGAATTGAGGATGACTGTTGGAAACACCCATGTGGCTCCTTGATTTCTCAGTCTGCGGACACTGTGGATCAGCGTCATGATGCTGAGATCCATGCCACATGCCAACATGGTCCAAAACGTTCTCAATCTCGACCTTTCCTAGTCCTCCGCCTGGTTGAATTCCATGATGAAGTGGATGGTCATGAGGATGTTGATGATGGCGTTGAAGTGGATGCTCATGTGAATGCTCATGCCACATGCAGTGATTGCCATGTTGTGCAACAAAATCAAAGTCGACCTTCCCTAGACCTCCACCTGATTCAACTCCACGACAGCTCGAATTGCGATCAGCTCCAAAATCATCTCTCTGAAAACTGTGATTGACATGCAAAACTTCTGAAAACTCAAGAAACGGAGTGTTGAAAATGGGCTCATTTGAAATTCCCTGGTTTGTGTCGACACCCTCAAAACACGGTGCAGCCTTTGTGTATGCGCAAGGGACGTCATTCGGCATGTTGAAAGCGCCGTCCGAAATGCCATACTTTCGCTGCACTTCAATCGGAACAGGAAAGGAACCTCCCTTCCACTGGACAATGTTGATCGACCGGTGCCCAGTTGGGAGTCTCTGCATTGGAAGCTCGATTTCAAGCTTCTGCAAACTGATCTTGTTTTCAGGAAGACTGATCCTAGCCTGCAAAAATTCCAAAAATCCTACAGAAAGAAGCGGGGGGATACGATCCTCCAAAACTGTCATTTCAAGGACCCCGGGGATTCCTCCAGGTGAAATTGGAACAAGTGCTACAAACTTGGGCTTGGCTACACCACCTATGCCGGAAGGGACACTAACTGTCTTATCTACACGAACTGGCTGAAGACCTACCCCACTCAGAGCTTGCGACAGGTTCGAAAAGGCCTCACTGCCGATCAGGTCTTGGGTCGCACCGATGTCCAGGATGGCCTCAGTGCCAGGAATCGCCAAAAACGCCCAGGCAGTGTTTTCCTTTTCCATGGAGCCACCATCCAGCCGCACAGCAGTGATTGCGCTACGCAGCTCTTGCAAGGTCAGAAAAGAAAAAGCTGACGAGCCACTGGCCTCCCCACCACAGTAGGAGAAACCGCTCGGGCTAGGTTTCTTTTTCAGGTTGCAGTCTTCAGCCCAATGACCTCGTTTGCCGCAGAGCCGACACCGCGAGATCTTCTTGAGCTGCTCACGATTCATGCCGCCACGACCTCCATGACGAGGTGCACCGCCGCTCCCAGGAATGCCACCACCGGGAACTCCACCATACTGTCCCCTGGGCGCGGCATTTGCACCGTCCTTGATGAAATTGCCACGGTCCTTGCGCATGTCAGCCTTCAGCACCTTGTTCTCCTTCCACGTCCTACGTCGTTGTTCCAAGACTGCGAAAACCTCACAGACTTGGTCTTCGCTCAAGTCCAACTTGTCCAGCTCCTGGATGACCTCGGACTCCTCAAGGGCCTCGTCCTCGTCGTCAAGGTCGTTGGAGTCAGCCGCCAGAAAGGTGTGCTCCTCAGGAACGTCCTCAGAGAAGGCGGCGATGCGATCATGCCTCACATCCATGCGGCCCAGTGCACGAGCCACGGCATCAGGATCTTCTTCTCGTCCTTGAAGTAGAGCCGTCAGATTCTGCTGATTCTGATCGGTCAGGCCAGCTCCCTCGCGCATCAACATCGCGCGAAGAGCTTCAGGGATCTGCACTCCATGGGCTGCAGCATTCCTGAAGTCTCATTGACGACGCACTGCAAATTGGGCCAGAGTCTCATCTTTGTGCCTCTGACTGTCTGAGATGGCTGCACGATACGCCCGTCGGCGATCGTCATCTTCTCTGACGCCTGCCTTGTTGTTCAACACCTCAATGATTGCCTCCAGGTACAAGCTGGAGCCGAGGACCTCATCACTGAGGTGCTCCATGTCCACTTGAAGATCCCAGCCAAGAGATCGAAGCACCTTTTCCGCACGCCGATACATCGGCACATCTGTCTGTTTGTTCCACCTTCTGATAGCCAAAGTCCAGAGACGTCTATGACTCCAACCAGGCCAAGAAGGTGGATCAGTGTAGTCCGGCTTAGGCTGGGAACTGTCCCACTGTCCAGACTGCCAACCATCTTGACGCCATTCCCGCTGGCTCCACTGCCAGCTGTGTCCTGAGTCCCAGTTCCATGTCCAAGAGTCGGCCTGGGTTTGCCCAGTGTTTTCAGTTCCTGTCTGGCCGGGTTGGTCCTGCGCTGGACTACTGGTTCCTGCACCACCCCATGGGTCATTTGTAGTCAGAGGGTCAGCCCCTGACTGGTTCCCTGCAGTTGAAGTCGCGACCCCATTCTGCGGCTCAGCTGCTGGAACACTAGTCACTACTGCATACGTACCATCATAGCTGCTAGACCAGGAGTCATGACTACGATTGGGTCTATATCTCCAAGACCAATCCCATGACTGCCATGTCGCCGAACCCCAGTCCTCTGTCCTGGAAGAGGTTGAGTTGCTATCGCCTTCCACCGCAGCCACATGGTCCGCATGATTGCCTATGTCATCGTCGAGGGTGTCGAGCATCGAAGCCATGCTCCGGTTACCAACTGACGGAGTCTAAGTGCAAAACGAGCGGCATCGGCTGCTATTTTGGATGGCACAGAACGCATCCCACTTGAGCCACGTCACGTGGCGAAAGTGCAAAGTCAGGATGGAATACTTTGGTCAAGTGAAATCATGTATGACAATGGCTGATCTTCACATATAGACGGATAGACGGATAGACAGATAGATAGCCCGACACTCCAACCACCTTTCGATCCATCAGTGCGCCCTTCCATCCATGGTCACAACAACCAAACTCTCCTATAGGTTTCCTATCTTTGAAACTTCCGCCACCTCCTTGTGCGGTACTACTGGTAATGATGGATAATTCGCAAATGGTTTCAATTACAAAGTATCAAAAAATGGTGTAATATCTGAATGATGAATAATCATCTATAATCGTCTATAAATGTTTTCAAGCCCGATATTTTTGAGTATCCAACTATAGATGTTTATAGCCCCATTGAGCCATAGCTATTTCTCATGGTATTAGTATAGCTATCCACTGAGCCTCAGACATGCCAGCCATTCGCTGCCGCGACCTCACTAACCTAGCACAGCAACAAGTTCAACAAGGCCACAAGGATGGGCACCGGATTCCCAACTGCGACCAGAAATCAGGGACCAGCTGTGTTTCACCATCCAAAAAAAACATGGTGGAACCGTGAAACTCATCCTGTTAGGACTGACAAAATCATCATCCGGGTGCCTCTTTTTGCCGTGACGCAGCCCGTTCCTAGCCGTCGCCAGGTTTTTCTCAGAAAGGAGTTGAAATCCCCAAAAACCAAAAAAAAATGCCAGGTGGTCTGATCAATATCCTCCTGTTTCCTTTGGAACGAAACTATTTCGTATTTCTTAAGATATTCAAAAACAAACATCGTTACCTAGCCAGTTTTCAATATTCTCCAATCCATCCATCCATCCATCCATCACAATCCCAACATCACCTGGATCCGACACCAAGCTGTGCCCAGGTCCTGCAGTTCCACCAGGCTTCGCTTGTGGCTCTCAGCTAGCTCTGAGAGCGCCTCCGCTTGTTGCCCCACGCGTTCCGCAGCCGCTTCCCAGGCAGAGACCTGTTGGATCGCTGGATCGTTGAATCGTTCGCGGCAAAAAAAACCAAGGGAACAAATCGGCAACATACCCAAAAATATGGAGATGTCTTGGGATTTAGTGGTATTTGACCAAAATATGGCGTTTGTTGAAGCTCACGGATGACTGTCAAAGGGCCAAAGGGTGGTGAAAAAATGACAAAAACCATCCCAACAACCACTGAGTAACCACTGAGTAACCACTGAATGTTGAAGGTTTAAAGAGGTTCTTTTCAGATGCTTACCCACCAGAGATATTCTTTGCCAAGGTGTTCCCGCCTCCTTGGTCGTAGTGCTGGGCACGAAACGGCCCAAGGGCGCTAGGAACCCTGCCACCTCTACAAGTGTCACAACAGGTGAGTTTTGCTGCACCACCCAATGAAGGATTCCATGTTCAAAGCAAACGATGAATTCTGGCACTTTCCAGCTTTCCAACTGCGCCTCTGGACAGGAGCGATTGATTTGGCTCAGAACCTGAATTTTGTTGGCGTTCAATCACTTTGTTGCCAGTGGCGAAGAAAATTAAATTAATTAAATCCTCAAAACACGGCTTTGTCTGAGAATATGGGTCAAAACCTTGTACCCCTGGTGAACATCAAAATAGCTGGTAAATGGATGTTCATCCCTCTAAAAATGGTATTAATAGGTATTGATCCATACCCAAATCCCTTGATTCATCATTTCCTCCATTCATCGTCCATTCATCGTCCATTTCCGGCGCACGGTGAGAAGTTCATCCCTTTCGGCCACCACGGCAGCGTAGGATTCAGCGCCGTCGTCACCAGTCCTGGGATCCTCGGGGAACTGGTGATTTGACAAAGCCAAAAAGAGTCGATAAATCTGGTGGATACATACATACATATATATATATAATGTACATATATACATATATAATATATATATATATATTATGGGTGACCATATATATATATATATGTTCAACATATTATGAAAACTTACCTGATTTTGCGATTGTGTTCTCTCGGACCTTGTTTTGTCGGTTCATTATTCATCGGGTATACCACCAGACTGAGTTCTACCAATTGTTGTAATGAACCTTTGAAAACCTTAGGGTTTACTGCTGTTTTTTTAACCACTGCCACCTCAAATAGGGAGAAAACAATACCCTGAGGCTCTATACGGCTCTTAAGGTACAGAGGTCTTGGATAGTCTTGGCGCCCCAAAAAAAATCAAAAAATATAAACAGCAAAACATGAGGTAAACAAATCAAAACCATGGTAAATCTCTGAATTTTGAGGATAAAAGCAATGGATCACCCATCGTCCTGCGTTTCTTTGGAGATCTCCGCTTCATCCAGTGCCAAAGCCAAGGTCTGGAGCTGTTGTTCCAGCTCCTGCGAAGCAACGGCAACGGCAGAGTTTCTGCAAAAATGGCACCTGGGACACACTGGTGATGAAAAAACTGCTTGCAAAAAATGATGATGATGATGATGATGATGATGATGATGATGATGATGATGATGTTTCGTATGTGGTGTAGATGTACGAACAGTCGCCTGGAAGCGATGTGTTCTGCTCTCGACAGCTTCCTAGGTATCAGATGGATGTTTGTAATCACCAATTATAAATCATGATATGATGATATGTTCACACAGTAACAACAATATATCATATGAATCATATGACAACTATTATGTATATTAACATATCATATCATTTATATATATACTATATATATATGTCATATACCCTCTGGCCATTTAACATAGCCATGTAAAATGGCCCATTTATAGATGATTTCCCAGCTAGAAACCTCCATTTATTTTTGAGATTTTCCATGGCTATGTTAGTCATAACCAGATGGTAATTACCATCTGGTTATGACTAACATAGCCATGGAAAATCAGCATTTTTAATAGGTAAACCATCTATTTCTATGGTCCATTTTCCATGGCGATGCTCCACACCTTCCCACCAGCTCCCTCGGCCTCCCGCTGTTGTCGTTGACTCTGCCGTTCCCGGAGCCTTGCCACCTCCACAGCACTTCGCGCAGCCTCCAGCAGGTCGCACCTAATGAGGGCCCCAATGCTGAAATCAGAGGAGAAACTGATGGTGATTTAATGGTGATTCATTGGGATTTATTGGGATTTATTGGGATTTATTGGGATTTAATGGTGATTTAATGGTGATTTATTGGGATTTATTGGGATTCATTGGGATTTATTGGGATTTATTGGGATTTATTGGGATTTAATGGTGATTTAATGGTGATTTATTGGGATTTATTGGGATTCATTGGGATTTATTGGGATTTATTGGGATTTATTGGGATTTAATGGTGATTTAATGGTGATTTATTGGGATTTATTGGGATTTATTGGGATTTATTGGGATTTAATGGTGATTTATTGGGATAAACAACAGAGGTATGGGATTTATTGGGATTTAAACTGATGGTTATTTATTAAAATTTTGGGATGACAAGGGGATGAAAAAAAGGGATGTATCATTTGGAGAACTGTATCATTCCCTGGATGTATCAGCCCAAAATTCAGGGGGATGAAAAAAAGGGATTTTATGAGGAATGAGATGATCCATGATGTTTTTTTTCAAAATATGATTTGTGCTAATAGCCAGTTAAACTGGCTGATTTTTAGCCTGAGAGAATTGGGAGGTATTGGCTACAAATTGTGAAGAATCGTCCCAGTAGGAATCAAGGGGGATATCAATAGCTTTCAAGCGATAAAACAAAAATAGATGTTGTTCACAAAATAGTGTGGCCACCAAAAAAAAATGGAGACCCAAAAAACGGCAAAAAACGTCGAGAATTTTCGGGGTTTGACCAACTAAACATCTAGATATGGAGGATTCAACCACTGAGATGAAACTTAAGGCACTCTAAGCCCGGATTTACCCTCTGGTTATGACATTCACAGTTTGCTGTGGAAAATCACCATGCTATGAAAATAGGTAAACCATCTATTTCTATGGGCCATCTGTACCATGGCGAACTGTTAAATAGCCAGATGGTAAATTAAAACCATTGAAAATGTGTTGAACAAATCGAAGACTCAGTAGACTGAGTAGACTCAGTAGACTCGTAACTCGGGGCCAGGCTTCACTTGCAAAGCCTCACACTGCTTGGAGAGAGCACCCACCTCCAGCGGAGGCGATGTATCTGTGATGTCACGTCAAGTTGTTGAACCTAGCAGTTTTCCTCGTTGTGTTTGTTGATCCCTAGTTCTTGGTCATACATCCGTGATATCGCTGCTGGCTACCCCAAATCTCCACAAACTTCCATCTATTCATATCACGTCGATCGCCAAGATTTCAATGTGGTAGTTATTTTTTCAATGTCAGTAAATATAAAATAATACCATTTTAATTCAATGTTATTAAATATAATTATATTTATCATTTTTATGTGCTAGTTCTATTATATATAAATATAATTGAAAAGATAAATGGAAAAAAATGAAATAAACTAACACATCCCCAGATGTGTTGCTCCATGTTGGTCCATGGCGGATTTTCGGCGAATTTTCGGGCCGCGCCTTCCAAAGAAGGATGGTTTTGTCCTCATCGGTGGTGAGCTGCCGAAGCTCATCATTCTCCGTTTTCAGCTTTTGGACCTGACTTTTGCCAGAAAAACACCAGCCTCAAAGATCGTCCAATGCACTTGGATTGATTTTTTTGGTTTGACGCATCTGAAAATCAATGGCTCTGCAATTCAACACATCTGCAAAATGTGTAAAGCATTGTTTGTAAAGTGATCTTGAGATATCATAAAATATCTTCAACAGATACTTCAACTATCTCAACTGTCCCAATTTCTCACATCTGCCCACGAGATCCTAGAATTGGACTGTGCCATAATAAATGGCACCTCTTGCCGCAGATCTCGTAGCTCTTTGTCTTGCATCTTGATCAAATCCTTAAAATGTCCAGCCACATCCTGCAGTGAAGCGTCGAATCTATGATCGAGAATGAATCAGTACCCTCTGGTTATGTCAAAATAGCTACTGAAAATGGCCATTGAAATAGTCGATTTTCCCATGAAAAATGGTGATTTTCCAGTTCGTTGTGTGACAGTTTACCATGTCGGGAAATCTATGGCAATCTATGGGCATCCGGAATCATCGCACCAGCAACAGCACACCATCTCCTCAGCCATCCCTTGGTGTGGAGCGCTTTCGCCCCGCTGAAGCCAGAGTTGTACCTCGCCATGGGAATCCTTCCATGGGAATTCCATGGGAATTCCATCAGACTCCCAGAGGGTTGAGATGGTTTGAGGCTTCGACCATGGCATCCTGGACCTTCTGAAACTGTAGTGCCACCCATTCCTGGAAACCTGGACGATAGCGACTCATCATGCCCGGCTCGTCCAGGCTGAGGCTACGCAGGAAGTCCTGGAGAAATATCGGGTTGACCTGGAAAAACACTGGACATTGGAAACCCCAGAGAAAACGTGAACCATCAAAAGTATATCATTCAAAAATCATGTGTCTATATTATATGTACATATAATTATCTATATGTATATATATATGTACTATTAATTTATTGATAAACGAATTAATTCATGTTTTGAATGCCTTAAGCCAACATTAAGCCGAGTCGTCCTCCGAAGCCCTAGTGAACATATCCACACCTCAGCATCGTCATCGCACCCATTTTGAGCGACCCAAAGTCATCGGTTGAAACCATGAAGTACCCTCTGGTAAACATACAAAAAGCTATCGAAAATGGCCATTTATAGTGAGTTTTCCCATTAAAAAATGGTGATTTTCCATAGCTATGTGACAGTTTACCAGAGGGTATCAGAAACATCCCAATGAAAATCATTCACAAAAAAAACATGAATTTTGCATCAACATCCTGCATCCATTCATTATATTCACTATATTTCATTGTGAAAAATAAAACAAAAAACCACCAAGAAACTGAAAAAACCATCTATCAAAAGCATTCAAAGTTATGAAAAACGGTATGAAAAGATCCATGAAAACCGCAGATTCAGCTTCAGACCTTTTGAGGCAATGATCTCCATAAGTTGTGAAGAAGTCACCAAGGAGCCCTGCAACGAGTTTCGTTGCGTTGAGTGATCTCTTTCTGAAAAACAAAGCCGCGGAAAATCTCTCCGTTTTTTCTGGCTACGGCTATGGTCCAATGGTATGGCTGTGTTTTTTTTTCTATGGGTCAAATATCTTTTCGCTTCTCCATATTCTCATATATTCTCCATGTACGTTCATGCCATTTTCACACGAGGCACCCCCAAAATTCCGTGTCAGATGGTCAAGTTCCTGTGCTGTGCTCGCTGTGCGCCTGGTTAGGTAGTTCAAGAAGGCATGTCCCCAGCACCAATGCTGCCAGGCCGTAAACCTCCGCAAAATATGAAGTCAATGGGGGCACCAATTGGTCCGAACATCCCATTCGGCAAATCTCAATTTGATCGAAACAGAGAAATGAAATGAAATGAACATCCCAAATCAATCCAAAATCCTTAAATAATGATTCAAATACTCCAATCGTACACGGTTTTGGCCATCAGATGTAACTCTGACGGATCGCAGATGCCACCGCGGCACATGCGGCACGTGGCTCGTCGTTGAACTGAAAGATTCCAGCAATGCCATCAGTTCCGGAAGCAGAGCAGGTGAAGATACAAGCACCTGGAAATCAAAACAAAAACATCAAATAAACACGTTGCAAAATGCTGCAAACATTACAGGTTTCATAAGCTTCATAAGCTTCATACGCTTCAGGCTTTTATCAAAATCTGGGGAGGTGATGCTTGGGACACCGATTTGTTTTCTCTTTGAGGCCACCAATGCCACCAATCATCAGCTGACGCCTCTGCAGCGGCTGGACAGTCATGGCACCATTCTGCCAAGAGTTGCAGCAACGCACAAAGACCCGCACTTGCATCGCCCCCCTGAGAGGTTCACCAGAGGCAAAAAATTCACTGCGAAACGAAAAATTCCTCGTTTTCTGTCATGAACTCTCAATTTCTGAACAAAGATTGTACATCTTTATCATCTTTGGATCATGTTTGTTGAATCTTTAGGCTGCAAAATTCTGTATCCATCACAATCATCACATCCACATCATCCCGTGACATCCACAGCATCCATGGCATCCATGGCATCCATGGCCTGTTTCGCTTTCGGCTCGTTCCGCCAGGCTCGCGCCAGTGCTGCCGTGGGGCCCAGCAGCGTCGCCAGCAGCGCGGGTTGTGGCGCCTCTGCGTCTGGGGGCCTCCAGCTGCGGCTTCAACGGTGAATTTCTGCGCTTGGAACATCTGATTTCGCTTGAAAACATCATGGAATTTGGTGAATTTCTGTGCGAATTTCTGTGTCTGCGATTTTTTGTGGACTTTGGTGAATTTCTGTGGGATTTCTACTGATTATATGGTTGGGGTAGGATCATCCTTCATGCTGGCCTCGCAAGTCGTAGGCGCAACTGGGGCCCGCTGCGGATGCAGGTTCCCAGCGCGCGTGCAGCAAACCAGGTGTTGGCATCTGATGGCCACCAAACCTGATATCAACAGATGATATCAGATGGTTGTGGAAGGTTGTGTAGCTGGATGGTATAAGTTATGACTTAGTTCCAAGATGTTCTAATTTGTTATAACTAATTATACCACGTTTTTACATGTAATTTTAGTCACTTTAGAATTTCCAATCTCATCTCTCTCATTCCACACTGCCGGGACTCACCTTGCTGCAAGGTGGTCTTTTTTTTCATCTGGAAATTTCTGACGGTAAACTGACCATTTTCCCCACATTTTCCCAGGTTGACCATCCTTTGGTTTCGATGAAATTCTGCCAGGCCACGTTTTGCAACGTCTGAAGGGGCCCAACCTCGAGCCTTTGATCTGCTGTCCGGAACGCGGCCAGCAAGAGAAGTCCTGGGACATCGGTCCACGACAACAACGACAACAATGGGATTCACCAAGGGATCTGTAGATATGGAAAATCACCATGCTATTAATGGGTAAATCACCATTTTTAATGGGTAAATCACCATTTTTGATGGCTAAATCAACTATTTCGACTGGGCCATTTTCAAGTTCGCAAACTGTTTGTTTACCAGAGGGTACATGCAACAAAATACAAAAATGGTATGTAGTTGATATAGCAGAAATGAGAAAGAGAGACCACCAAAGACAGCAAACCAAGGACTATTAGTATATTCATCTTCTCTCATATGGATAGATCATCAAGGATGTCCTGAAGATATCATATCAATTCATATCAATTCATATCAGGCAGTGTGTCAAAACCTTGTACCCCTGGTGAACATCAAAATAGCTGGTAAATGGATGTTCATCCCCCTAAAAATGGTATGTATAGGTATTGATCCATAGCCATATGGGGGTTGCTTATAGCCCGGGGGATCCCCATTTTACACCAAAACATCTCGAGTCACCATGGCTTTCAATTTCCGGATGTGGTACCTCCAGACGGCATCTCACCCTGGGCAGTCTCCGGCTGCGTTGCCAAGACCTGCAGCTGGGGCTAGACTATCTATACTAACTAACCTCAAAATCCATGAAAATCCATGAAAATCCATGAAAATCCATGAAAATCCATGAAAATCCATGAAAATCCCTGAACATCCGATGGTTTACCACATGTTTACTACTCAGTTCCATCAGTTTCCATCAGTGTCCCATTTTCAAATTGGCAAAAAATGGGCAAAGTCAGGATTTTCCTCCAAAACCAGCCAGCCAGCGAGGCTCCGCCTCCCGCACATCAGCACTTCGCTCCAGACCCGTGGCCACCAGGACCTGCCAGGGGGGGCACCCTGCCGGCCATGTCGGCTGGAAAGCCGATTCCCTGGCTGACAGCTGACCTCGATGGCCGCTCGGAGATCCAGGGGAGCGGATCCCTGCGGCCGTGGATCATCGAGATGGATCTTATTTTTGGAAAAAAAACCACAATGTCTCCATCAATCCAATGATTCCAATGTTTATTAAACCACATTGTTCACATGACTCAAGTTTAGACCCATCTGAAATGTTTCAGGAAAAACAACAAGTCTGAAGTTGTGAGATATGTGAGATATGTGAAATGTCCAACGAAGCCTCTCCGAGAAGAATGGCAACCATCCTGTCCAGCAAGGATCTTCCCTGTAGCATGGCCTCACATCATCAGAAAAGGCCATCAGATCATTGGGAGGTGTCCAAAGTCATTAGAAATAACCCCCAAATCATCCATTTTTGCCACACGTTCCATCAAAAATAGAACCATCCAGCGATAAAGGGGTACCCCCATGACTGGCTGGAAACCTCCATTCTGAATGAACTCGAGTATATGAAAACGCCGATACTGATGATTTTCAATAATTCTGGGATCATTGGATTCTTCATGTTCTTCGGTTGTTCCCACTGAACTTGATCATCAACTGGTGATTTTTGGGGGGATCTCTGATCTACCCTCTGGTAAACTATCACATAACTATGGAAAATCACTATTTTTAATGGGAAAATCCACTATAAATCACCATTTTCAATAGCTATTTTGACATAACCAGAGGGTACCCCATGACTGGCTGGCCTTGAAGCACCCCAGAGACGCTTCAGGAACAGCGCGGATGGCTGCAGCCAGCGTCTGAGCAGATTCAGATGAGGATTGCCCAACAGTCAGCCAAGTGGATTAATGTGTATATATATATATGTCTATATATACACATATGTATATACATATATATATATACACATACATACATACATACATACATACATACATACATACATATATATACATATATATTATGTATATATATATACACTGATTTGATGTGATTTGATCTGATGAAAAACTATATCATATTCTGTCATATCCGTTGCCCAATTCTGAGATGCGGGTATCCGCCCCTTTGGGCTCACTAAAAGATGACAGTAACATGTTTACCCAACGGCCTCTGGGTTGAGAATCCAATGGATCAAAAATGAATCAAAACCTATGAAATTACCATATGACTGGGAAATAAAGATCCATTCACCAAGTTATTTTCTCTATTTTGAGGTACCAGTTGGGTACCGGTACCAGGGTTTTGACCCATACCATGACATTTGGATGTAGGATGAAGGATCAGCCGCAGGCCTCAGTTGCTTGGAGCCGCAGTTGATCAAATTGAGGATACGGAAGCACCTTTTGGACGTGCCACATCGTGCTGGGGAAAAAAAAAACATCTCTGAAGCTTTGGGAAATCTATGGAAATTGGATGAAATGTGGTGACTTCCAAATATCTTACCATATTTGGATCCATATCTAACCATTCAGAAAAAGCCCTTGAAGTCGATTGGGGATATGACCAGCCATTGCCTCGGCACCAGCCTTGCCTCCAGGCAAACCATTTCCACCAAACCGGCCGACTGAACCTAGCAGTCAGCAGGCCACATCAGGCCAGCTTCAGTGGCATCACTGGCATCACTGGCATCACTAACACTCAGGACACGGCCAAGGTTTTGGAGTTTTGCTCTGCCTCCAAACATCCAAAACATCATCAAACATCCAAAACATACATCGAATCCACATCGAATCCACATCGGCTCCACATCGGCGATGTTTGTCGAAGATCTGACCTCGTTCCCAGCTTTCGATGAAACGAAGGAAGCCACGCTCTCCTGATCCAGCTCCCATCGCTGCGTACGACAAATGCTGATATCATCGCCGTTGCATGGTTTGCATCTTGAAAATCATTGAAAAACTAAAACTCTAGGAAACTGTTTTGGATATCAATTTCTTCACATCGCTGATCACTCTGATATCCTGTTCACATAAAAAAATTCTTTATGGATCTCCGCCGATTTAGATCAGCTTGACATCTACATCGTACATCTCCATATCCAGGTGACTTAAAACTGGTGGTGTATCCCAAATCATCCTGATGACTTGGGGATGACTTAAGAAACCCCCCATCTCCAGCTGTCCAGCAGCACGGTCGCCACATTTCGCAGTCCCATTGCCCAATCACTGGCCTGGTGTGCAGTGTTCATGGGTGTCTGAAAATTGGGAACCAAAAAAAAAAAACTACGCCGTTTTCAGAAAATCCCATGAAAATGGGCTTTGAAATTTAGGAATCTCCCCATTGTTCATCAATGTATGGGAAAGTTGATTAAAACAAATGAGCTAGCAGGCACTGTAGACATACCAAGACACTCCAAAGCATACTTCAAAATCAGCAACTAACATGCTTGGTGAGTGATTCATCGATAGATTCCCATCTTGGTCATCTAGGTCATCAAATACCTACTTCTACTATTGATATCTGTTGATCTGAATTCTGAAATAGTGAAATCATGTGTGAAATCTCTAAATTTAGATTCAAATAGTATGAAACAGTATGAAATAGTGATATTCTGAATATATTCTGAATATCTACTATTCCTACATATTCCTACTATCAAAATCTCAATTTTGAACCCCCAACCCACCAGACCATAGCTACCTCCGACAGACTCAAGGCAGCAAGCACGGCACGAAGGCTACGAATCAAGGCTGAGAGATGCCCTGCCTGCGGAGATCGAAGTTGGGATGTTTCTGGTACATTAAAAACCAGCACTTTGTCAATGGCCATTTCAGGAACCGATTTATTGGAGGTACCATATAGAAGGCCTATATAAGGCCTATGTGAAGGTAATATGGGACATGTTAGGATCCTGAAATTCCCATTGACTTTGGGATCTGGTTTCCATCATGCCAATGTTTTGCCTTCCAGCCCCCCCCGCCCCGCCTCGCGCATGTATTTTTGTGCCACTGGCCCTTGCCCAACCAGCTGCAAAACACAAACCTCCAGGACACAAACCAACATTTTTTGAGACCAAAAGACAAAAAAATGTCTCAAAATGTCCCATGTTCATCCATTGGAAGTATCAAACCATCCAACTTTCAGTGGGACTCTAACCCTACTGGCCCTGCATCCCAAGGTCCCATGTTTTAAAAATCCATCCCAAGGACCCCCTGCGGCTCCGACACACGCATCTGCTGCAAGGCCCAGAAAGGAAGCCTCAGAAGCGCTGTCAGAAGCTGACGGAAGCCTGGGGCTATTTTCGTGGGACATCGGAGCTAAGAACCAAGCTGATGCGGAGCCTGCACAGTGCGAAAATGATGCTGATCCAATGGGTTTGTCGTCTCAAAAGGGGTGCTTGACCCAAATCTCATGGTGTAGAAAAAGCGCGTAAAATATGTTCAAAATATCGTTCGCCTCTATTTTTTGGAGCAACTTAAAGTTACATCCCTGGGAAAACCCAAACGAAGCTTTCCCAAATTCCAAACCAACGGGGACGAGCACGCGAAACATCTCAAGGGGGTCAACAAAAATCGCACCGAAAAAACTGTAGATCATTTGCCTTCAAAATCAAGGAAATTGGCAAAATCCATTGCCATGTCTTGTAAGATGTTGGATTACTGGATGCTATCCCGAAATATTTGAAAACCACCCAAAGCAGGAAAAAAACACAAAAAACATGCCAAAACATGCCCAAACTCTGCCTGCAGAACTCCCAGCGTTGAGGGCATGCGAAGCAATCGCCAACAGCGCCTTACGACTCCCAGGAGTGCCCCAGCAATCGCAGATCGGACAGATCGATCAATTCGATCAGCGCCTCAGCACCATCCTGGAAAGTCACGATCATCCGCACGTCTCCATCATTGGCAGTCACCAAGCGAAGAAAGCGAACCTGGAAATGTTGAAATGACAAAAATGCGACTGCCACGATTGCGAAATCCCAACAGAAATTGGATCTGTCTTAACCACAACTGGGTCTTGTCTTTTGATCAGAAAATTCCGAAATCGTGACCAGCTGGCCTCTACATCCAGCTGCGGATGTTTCAACGGATGTTTCAATCTGTCAGAAACCCAAGGTGATGTGGGGATGTGGGCTACAGGTCCTCAAACGGGCGATGGATTTTGACATGTAACATGACATGTAACATGACCTATCCCCATATCCGATGACATATGGGCATTTCCGTTTCGTCATGGGGGTGCCCCGGGTACCATCATCCATTTGAATGAGATTTTCCACTATAAACCATCCAGCTATTGAGGTATCCCCATTTCTGGAAACCCATTGAGGATCCAACACATTCCGCACACAGCGCAGCGTCTTCGGCTTCCCAACTGCAGTTCTTTGAATCCTGACATCAGATCCACCATCCGATTTCCATGAGTTGGGACAGCACAATTGTCACATATGGAGAAAATTTTGGGGGTACAAACCAACCAAACTTTGCTGAAAACTTGGTGTTTCCCCAAATCTGCCCAGAATCTCCCCAACCATTCACTTATTTATATCTATTATTATCTATTTACATATTTTATAACTCACAAGTCTTCCAATTTATCTGAGTGAATGGCTGAAAATCCACTATTTATGGTTGTTTTCCCCAGTCAAAACCTCCATTTTCTCGGTTTTTTCCACCTTTGATTCTCGGAGGGCCCTATCTCCATCCCATCTCCTGTAAGATCTCAATCAATGCCGAGATGGACTCTGGATCACTCAGCAGATGTCGCCCCAAGACCGCGCTGGTCTCGGGGTAAACGCGACGCAATAGAGCCAAACCTGGCGACGTCAGAAATTGGTTTGCTTTGAAATGGTTTTGACAAGGGTGAACGATGTGTAATAGTGTTTACTGCATTTAAATATGTATGAAATAATATCAAAATTTCCTATAAATCTATAAATTTCAAGAATGAGCCATGGATTGCAGGTGGATGCCATCTCCGGCCTTGCGTTCGGGATGCAACACCCTGTGCCTTCCATTTGGGTCGCTGGTAAGTGGTGGGTGGTGGGTAACCGGGTAACTGCTTCATTGGTGCATGTTCATCATGTCCATCATGTCCATTAAAAAATGACTGGTTGTTCATCCGCTCCAATTGGTTCATGTGGTGCATGAAAACCTCATTCACCAAAAAAACTGATACCCTCTGGTTATTTAACATAGCCATGGGAAATGGCCCATTTATAGATGATTTTCCCATTAAAACCTCCATTTATAAGGGATTTTCCATGGCTATGTTAAATAAACAGATGGTACTACCACTGATTTGTAACTACTAAATTCATCATAATTCATCTAAATCGTCCTCCAATCCTCCATTTCTTCATCGGCCTGCAAGAGCTTCACCATCGCCTTGCCATTCTCCGTTCTTCGCACGATCTGTTCGTGAAATGCACGTAACTCCTGGCACTAAATCAAGGCCCTGTTGTGGGAGCCACAAATGGGGCCAGCCAAATTTTTAGTACGGAGCTTACTCCATCCACAAATGGGGGGTGAATGAGTCAGTGGTACTCAAATACTTGATGATTCTCTAATAGATTGGCCACAAACCCATACGTATATTACCCTCCAGTAAATTAACATAGACCCTGCCAGTTGTCGGGGTTGGAAGACTAGTTTCCACTACAAATTGGTCATTTTCAGGGTCTATGTTAATTTACCAGGGGGCATACCTTGAACCATCCTTTAATGAACAAAAGATGGGCTGGTGATACACCCACCAGGGATGCTGCACCTCTGGAGTTGTGCCGGTCGAATCCAAAGCTTGACCCATACCATTCAAAGTCCTGGAAGCAAAGCTGCGAAGCTCCAGAAATTCCAAATTTCCAAATCATTCCAGCGCTTGGATTTCTCGGATTTCTCGGAGGGATGTCCTTGCCAAGGGTCCAGCAGCCAGTTTGGCCGACCTGTACCACCGCAATCTGATACAGCTGGCAAGTCTTATGGCAAGTCTTATGGCAAGTCTTATGGCAAGTTCGTCAGATTTCATCAGGTGCACCACTGCTTTCCTCCGAACGATGTGACTCATATGACATCATGGCAGACCATCTGAGTCCCTGTCTCCACTCGGCAGAGTGCAGCACAGACCACTGGCACCACACGATCCTACAACCACCACATCTGCGTAAAAAAATCTGGTCAAAAATGTGTTGCAATTCTTGTGGAGCTCCATTCATTTTTGACAAAATCAGTATCAGTGGCCAATTTTGCTGGAAGTTTGGACAAAAAAAACGCTATCCATCACAGGTCCATCACAGTAGAACCGCGCTTCAGGTGACGTGCAAAAAACCTGGCGAGCCCTGGTAGGTCCTCCACAACCCATCCATGAAGGATGGTCGGTGTTTGGCATTGCGCAAGTCCCTTCGGCCCCGTGGCACCACTATGCACCACTATGCACCACTCACCCCATGGCAAAGTGGGTCTGAAAATGTGCCAGAAAATCCCATGCTTTCGAACATCATCCATCATTTTCCATTATTTTCCCATCATTTCCCATCCATGTCCCATCATTTTCCATCATGGTCTCATTGAAATCATCGTTTTTTCCACTACATTCCCCCCATTTTTCATCAGCCAACAGCCACAACAAGGCCACCTCCAAGCGCTTGTAGGCACCCAGAAGCGCTGCCTGGGCTTCAGGACTTGGGCCCTCATCCCAACCAAGGCCCGGTGACCCATGGTGACCCGGTGACGGAAAATCGTCCCCGGCGCCTCATCTGTGCCAGCCAACTGGATCTCCTCCGATCGAAATCGGACCACAAAATAAGAGACCAAGAGATCTTTGACATCATTAAAATCAAAGATCATCCATGTTTTTTCAAAGTCTTTCATGTCCTTTCTAGATCATACATTGCACATCACAAAAATGTCAACATGTTAAACAATTTCGAAAAAGAAATAAACTGCATTTAATAGATAGGACGTGTCCTGAAAAAATCTGGAAACCCCCAAAATCCAGTCATCTTCCAACCTCCAACACATCATCAAGGTCGACCCCGGCATCGATCTGCTGAACGGCAGAGTCGACCTGTAACAAAGGACAAGACTATGGGGGTATAGGGTTTATATAGGGTGTATATAGGGTTTATATAGGGTTTATATCCCAGTAATTTCTAGATCTGTTGGCTGTTGGATTGATCATGGTTTATCACTAAAACCCGGTAGAAGGAAAAATTACAATAATTCAGCCTGCAAATAGTTGAAATAAGATCAAATAAGCGCAAATAAGGGAGATATGGTTTATATCCCAGTAGTATATATCAAAACATGATGATGGGATAGGAATACTGATAGTCTGATAGTAATGATATGGGATATATATATATATCCCATCATTCATAGATTCATTCCCAACAAAATTAAGGCAACCCAATGCCAATAAACCTACCATTTGGGGATGGTAAACATACATACCAACCACCCATGGATCCATGGTGACTTGGGGTGACTGGGTGACTTGGGGCTGGTTTGTCTTAATCCCTGCTGGATTGATTGACCCAACGTGGCTCTATGAACTGACCATGGGCCAACAAAGAGCCTTAGCCCAGTGGATCCACTAGAAATCATGCCTCCTTCTCCACATTTCCGACCACATTTTCCACCTGGCGCGCTTTGCATGCGCTTTGGGCGCGCAGAGTTCTGAATGGAATTGGCAAGCAAAAAATCACTTCCACTTTATCATTTTAATCCCCAAGTGCACAACTTGTATTAAATTGTATATCAATAATTATCAATATATATATATATGAAGATATATGGAGGTTTCCTAAAATGGGGATACCCCCATCCAACTCATCCAACTCGTTAGATCCCAAAGCAAAAAATCTTGAAATTTCTTGGGGATCCATGACTTGGATGATACCCTTTTCTTACGAAATGTGCGTTAAACACGTCGGGAATTTTCGGGAATGATCCATTTCATCAATCCATTTCATCACTAGTTTCATGTCATCATCCCAGCCCCAGCAACCCATCCAGCAACCCTACGTGTTTAACGCACGCACCAGTAAGTTTTTGTAACCATTATAACTACCATTATGTATATATATATATACCATAATACTAATCACCATTAAATACCATTAAATACCATTAAATACCATTAAATACCATTAAATACCATTAAATACCATTAAATACCATTAAATACCATTAAATACCATTAGAATTATAGATTCATAGATTGATATGATGGTATATAACTATATGGTGATATATATATATATATATATAGCATTAAATACCATTATAGATTGATATTATGGTATTATTAAACACCATTAAACACCATTATCACCATTAAATACCATTAAATCACCATTAAATCACCATTAAATACCCGTAAGTTATATACCATTATAACTACCATTATATATGGTTATTATACCATAATTAAATACCATTATAGATTGGATTTTAGAAAATCACCATTAAATCCCATTAAATCATCATATTAATCACCATTAAACACCATTAAAATCACCATCAAAGATTGCTGACCATCAAAAAATCTGCGCCGAGCAGCATTTTCCACCACCCCTTCAAAGGTCTCACCGATGGAGTCGATAAACGAGAACAGTGCTGACGCCATCCGTAGGAACACCTCCGGGGAAAGAAGTTCACCAAGCGGTGAAACGCCATCACAACAGGAAGATACAGCAAGTCATGTGGTAAAATGTCGTAAAATGTCGTAAAATGTCGTAAAATGTCGTAAAATGTCGTAACATGTATATGTCAAATTGATGCAAAATGATTGAAAATGTTGTCAAACATGTGTTTAAAAAAACTCAGAGGCAAGTTTTCAGTCAACCTTTGCCCCCCTTTTGCTACTATGTGCGCAAGTCTTTTCATCTGACCTTGCAGACGTCATCTGTACTTTCCATGAACGATCTGCAGGGCTATGACAGCTATCGAATCTGTGCCACACGTGTTTTACGTGTCGCGAGCTCAAGGGCTTCACAGCCGACTTCGCGGAAGATGAGGTTAGCAGAAATCACCAAGTGGCTATGATAGCTACATATAAATACCCTCTGGTTATTTAACAGTTTGCCATGGAAAATCACCATGCTATTAATAGGTAAACCATCTATTTCAATGGACCATCTATACCATGGCTATGTTAGTCATAACCAGAGGGTATAGCCAACCAATCCTTTGAAGTCGACCGCAAGCGCGAAAATCTTGGCCTCAAAAAGCCATTTTGGGCCACTCTTGGCCTGCTGGAATCACTTTTTTTTGGTCACAGACGGTCACAGATCTGAGGAGATCATCGTGACAGATGAAGAGATTTTTCAAGTCAGATAGAAGGACCTAAAAATGATACCCTCTGGTAATTTAACATAGCTATTGAAAATCACCATAGAAATAGTGGATTTTCCCATTAGAAATGGTGATGTTCCATAGTTTTTTGTATGTTTACCATGTCGGGTACGCCCAAAAAATGACCTTGGGGGGTTGAGTGTCCCCATTTTTGAGGGGATCTCAATATTGACCTTATCCAAGCATCATTTCACTTTCGGTTTCGGACCTTTTCTGGCCCCAGGGCCAACAACAACTTGCCAACGATGGGTGGATTGCGGCTCTGGCAGCCTCCGGTGAGCAGTCACAAACATGGAAGGACAAAAAAACTCATGAAAAATTATAGGACCGGATAACCCCACATGTTACCGGATAACCACCGGATACAGAACTAAAAACAAAAACCCCACACGTCAATGTGGGGAATAACATTTCTCAAATAGGTCAGAGTCATTTTGGATCCGTTTCTTCACCCCTTCACCCATTTCCAACCTTTTCGACACAGTAGGAACAACTGCTGTATGCGAAACGTCCCTGGCCTGCAATTGTGATGCCCACTGATAGCAAGCAATGCTTGGCAGCAGAATTGCCATGGACAGCCAAATGAGCCTGGCTGATTTTGGTTTCGCAGAGGAGTGTTTTGGACATATCAAATCTTGATCAACGATCAATGGATGGCTGGTGCCCCTTCTCACGAATTCGACAGCTGTCGCTCATCAAAAAAGTCAAAATCGCGGCAAAAGAGCACTGGAATATACTGGAATTGTCAAAATATGTCAAAATTGTCGAAGCTGAGGCGCCAAGAGAAATCCTTTTTCCCCAGTAATGGCCAGTCCACATACTCAAACAGAACGGTGGATACCTCGGCTCAATTCAAGGTGCCGGATGAAAAATCCAGGTTTTGCAACAGAATGGTACCCAAATTTGAGGCTTTTTTTTTTTTTCAGTTTTTCAACATTTTTCATTTGAAATTTCGAAAAAAACCTGCGACTTGAGGGCTACCACATGTTCAGACCCCGGGCTCAAAGCTCAAACTCTCCTTGCAGTTTCGCAACGGGAAAGATGGCCTTCAACGCGACAAAAGTGGCCAGAGCACCTGCGTGCTTCACAGAGAGCAAAATTCCCATGTTCCACAGGAGGTTGAAGACCACCTCGGAGAAGTTGGTAATTCTTCACCCCAACTGGATATTGATCATAGTATGTTACTATATGTATATTATATACGTTGCAATCATATTGTATGTATTCAATTATATTGCGTTATATTCAATTATATTATATTATTTATATATATATATATGTTTATATATATATATATACACATTGTATATTGACCAACAAAGCCACTTGGTTGAAGAAACCAGAGATGGCAACCAACAAAACATCCTGTTTCTTGTAAATCAAAGGTGATATGGACCTTAACCAACACATGCCCTGACAAAATGTTGCTTCCACAAAACGCAGTTAAATCATGATGAGAAGCAACAACAAGATACCCTCTGGTAATTTAACATAGCTATGGAAAATCGCCATTTTTATTGGGTAAATCCACTATAAATGGCCATTTTCAATAGCTATGTTAGTTTACCAGAGGGTACAAAGATTGGAAATAAAACAATAGTCAGGTGCTGAAGCCATGAAAAATATGGCAGCCGACCCGAGGTCATGGAGGGATCTGAGAAATGTCGGGATATGGGGATATTCCTCAGCTGTGGTGCAAAAAAGGACAAAATCAGCTGGCGAAGATACTGTAATCATCCCAGCACCAGCACCAGCTCTAAGTTGGACAAAAACATGTGACTTCAGCACCAAGAAAAGTGACTTGTTGTGGGCAAAAAAAACCACTTTACCCGGTGTTTTTTAATTAAGTGACTTGTCTGTATCACTGTCTCATGATGTTTGATCATCCCACAACATAGGAAAATGTTCAGGGAATCCAACCCAGGGATACCCAAAATATGCATCAAAATGCTATAGAAACGCAGTTTCCCATTGGTATCCTAAAACTTGGGTACCCCAGTCATCATCCAGTCGTCATAAGATCTGACCACTGACCAAAAACATCCAAAAACTGAAAGCCATGGTGACTTGGAAATCCCCTCGTTTGAAGAAACTTCCCTTTTTTCGGGTTCCCAATATGTGGGTAGCCCTAAATCATCCATATTTTAATGGGGATGATTTAAATTATAAACATTTATAAATGATAAGTCATCCAGCCCAATAGGGCTACCTATGGCTACCTCCATTTATATTTCCCCCATTTCGAAAAAGTCAAAGAATCTCTGAAAGCATCGGCCAGTCACATAGACCAACACGCAGAGCCCTGCCAACTCTCCGTGCTTGGCATCTGGACCACATGCATCTGCTTCGCCACTGAAGACACACGTAATGGCCTCCTAGGGTTAGGAACGTTTGTCAGGAGTTAGTCAGGAATGACCATATTTCTGGGCGAAAGGAAAATCAGAAGCAATTTGGACAATTTGAAGTTGGTCATTTGATGTAATTTTCTTGAGGAGTGTGGGAAAACCGCCATCATGTTTATCCTTCCATTTCACAGGTCAAACCATGAAACAAGTGGTTGAAGCTGGAGGAAATACATGTCACTAACGACACAACGAGAACCACTATTAACCATTAACCACTAGTAACCACTATTAATCACTATTAACCACTAGTAACCACTATTAACCACTATTAGAAAAGTGACATGATCTGCACCTTTGGGGGGTGTGCTACGTGTGCTACGGCAAAAATGGACTGAAAAGACCAGAGGAGGGAGAGAGAGAGAGAGAAAGAGAGAGAGAGACTAAAACAAAACAATTCAACGAAGCATCAGAATCTCAAATGACCAAAAACCACCGCTGGCCGACAGTTGTGACAACAGAACGCCTATAGCGAAGGATCTGAGAAAAACTGTGAGGAATGCTTGGCTCCAGCTTTGAGACATAGATATCTCAGAAAATCTTTGTCTCAGAAACATTCAGAAGATCAGATAGTTCCTGCTGTTTCAGCATGTTTCACAGTTTCTCATCCTTCAGATAGCTCCAGCTGTTCCCTTCCGATTGCTTCAGCAAATCGTTCAGAGGAATCAGCATCAGTGTCAGCGGCAGCCTCAGCAATGGATGGGAATGGATGGGACCTTTCCAAAGACCTGACCTTCCACAAGAAACGACGCATGACGCTGTCCAGGAACTGAAAGACCGCTTCATGGGAATTGATGAGGAAAATGTTCAAGCCAGTGCCACCCTGAAGATCTTGATCAGCTCGCCACGTCTGCGCTATTTTCACAGAGGTCACACATTGTCATGGGAAATTTGGCAACTTGAATCACTTGTTCATCACTTGTTCATCACTTGTTCATCACTTGTTCATCAAAAAAAGGCATCAAACAGCAGCAGTTCACATTTTTCATCTAAAAACTCTCGGCTCACCAGCTGAGTTCGCCATGGAGACAACGCCACTTGTCACCAGCGACTCACCGGCGGCCTTGTAGCGGGTGAAGATCAACTCTTTCACCACGAAGGCCACCTTTGGCGTTTCATCATGTGGGATCCACCTGCCATAAAGCCATGGAGTTTCCATAGTCATCAGGGTATCCCAATAGCTGGTTTTTTGCAGGGATCCCATCTAGAAATGGATGATTTGATAGAGGTACCCCCATGACGAAACGGAAACCTGCATATAAAGATATTTAAAGACATATAAAATATATAAACCTACCATGACTGATGGTACAATAAACATGTGAATATACAATAAACCACCCAATAAAATGGTGATGGTAAAAACATGTAAAAACGGCATTAACTTCACCACATTGTTGGTCGTTGAGCAAATACTTCTGCCATGTCACTGCATTGAAGATGCAACTGCCTTGGGTGAAAGCACTCAAAGAGTGGCACGGACGATGAAACTATACTGATTGGTGGTTTCAATTCATTTCAATGAGCCACCCCTCTGAAAAATATGAGTTCGTCAATGGGTTTCGGATGACATCCCATATATGAAATGGAAAATAAAATTCATGTTTGAAACCACCAACCAGTATAAACATGAAGTATATTAACGAAAGCAAACCCAAGCCTATCACATTCGATCACCAACTGTGACAACCTTCCAACCTTCGTACCGAGCGGCCACCCAAGACCACTGCGAAGAATGGATTTGAACCACTGGAGTCCGACTCGAAAGAAGGAAGAATTCCAATGACCTGGTTTTGAAGCCACAATTTTCCAACTCCCACAGAGTGTGCCGATTTTTGTGCCGATTTTCTGCAGCAAATATCGATGCTCTAAATTCTGTCCGGCCCAGGTACAACTGCGACGAAGACCTGCCGGCAACGGCTGAAGTCAACGACTGTTCTGTGGACGTTTCCCTGGACTTTGGATGACGTTCGGACATTTCAAAGACAGTGCTGCCACAGCACCACTTCAATACCACTGAAAAACAGCATGTCAAGCATCACGTCAAGCATCACGTCAAGCTGGCCAGCGGCACTCCCAAGAGCGCCAAGAGCTGGAACATCGAATATCTTTGGTTCAGCAAACACCTCAGCTGACGACGGAACCAGGTTGGTCAGGTGGGTCGTCCCGCGAAATCCCGGTCACCCCTGAGGGAGCGACATGGAGAGCACCGCCACAAAGACTACCAAGAAGCAAGGCAAAATGCGAAGGGCTGAAACTGTATGTAATTATAAACCATATAAATATGTATAAATATATGTATATACAGTATTTATATATATATATAAAAGAGTATAAATCTATGTGTAAATATGTATAAACATGGCAACCAGCAGCGGTTGGCATGTGGTCAGCGTGGATCTGTGTACAGCCTGGCCTGATGTGCAGTTGGAGAGGAGGCTGTGCACAGGGCCAGAGACGTGACTGGTCGAAATGGCTCCAATCACATCGCCCAACGCATCGCCTCGGGATTTTCGGAGTTTCGGATGTTGGAAACATCTAAAAAAACATCTGGAAATGGAGAATCGCATCTGAGTAGCATCTGCTAATCGCGACTTTCGGTGACTTGGGGTGACGTTGACTGCCTGTGGACATTATGGACTCGGCTTCACCAACGTCTGGTTGATAATGATTTGATCTCCAAGTGACCCAGAGCGGCCAAGACGATCAAGAGCACCGGTGCCAGATATCCATTTCGCTGCCACATGTATCTCAACTGGAACATCGGAGCAGCCCCGGTCTTTAGGAGCACTAACAAGATGGCCCAGAAGAGAGGCACGTACGCAACAGCAGTAGATAGCCCCAGCATGTAGGCATAACCTGTGAGATCTGTGAGATTGAAAGACTGGGAAGCGTGAACTATGGATGTAAACACCAAAAAGACAAGAAAAGCTGGCATGTTCTCTGCTGTTTCATGTTGTGTTCGGTGGACCGCCTCCAGCCCTTCCTGATCCTGACTTTTTTGCCGGGTTTGCCCAGAGATGGGATAATGGGGTAGCCGCGGGTAGCTACTTGTAAATCACGGTTCATGTCGGTTCCGTTTACCCTCTGGTAAACATACAAAAAACTATGGAAAATTACCATTTTCAATGGGTAAATCAACTATAAATGGCCATTTGGAGGGTATACAAGGTATACTGTCTAGCCGATTCTAGCCTCTTGCGGTCCAGACACGTTTTGACAAGGAGACAGACGCGATCTGCTTGGAAATATTGTTTCCACAGCCAAAGAGAACCACTGCAACCAATAAAAGACCCTGCGACGCCCAGGAGAGCGCCGCTTGTCGCCGACCTGCAATGGCTGCAAGTGCTTCTAACCATCAATGGGAATTCCAGGATCCTAAAATGGAGGTACTGTACCATATTTTTGGCCATATTTTCTGGGGATATTCCCTTACATATAGGCCTTATATAGGCCTTATATATGGTAGGTACCTCCATTTCAGGATCCTGAAATGGCCATTGATTCCATGGTCTAACCATGCAACCCAGGCCTCGAACATCTTCCACCTCAAAAAGTCCACAAAAAACCACCAAAACCGGCATTAAATCCATGTGTTTTTTTTGCGGAATGGGAATCCGTTACGGTTAACCCGTTACGGAATCCAAGATGATATCATAGATGATATCATATTATCATCATATCATTTTTTATATGAAGTCGAATGTTCACCGTTCACCATGTTATCCCAGTTGGACCTAAAATCGGAGCCATCTATGCCCAGGCGCGCTGAAGCTTCCAGGAGCTTCCTCTACAAGGATTGATCAAGAGCGATATGTGGATGTGAATGTATTTATGTGTTATTACATATGTTTTATGTTGAATATTATATGATATGTTATATATTCATATATATTCAATATTTAATATGTATATATATATATTTGTTTATGTTATAAGTTATTGACAGTTATAACATGTTATAACATGTTATAACTATATCAAAGATGTGTATTCCCATACCATGAAAAACCATGAAATGCCGAACTGGTGAAAACCCATCATCTTCCATCAAGTTCAATGGATGCCGATGCCGATTGTCATGCCCTGGTCCTGCCGATGTCGGTCCATTTTGCCGTGGGGAAGCAAACGACTATGCACGGTCATGGGTCTGAGCCATCTGATCGATGTCCGGGGCAGTCCGGGCCAGAGGATGAGGAGGATTACGCAGCTGGTTATGTCAAAATAGCTATTGAAAATGACCCAATCGAAATAGTGGATTTTCCCATGAAAAATGGTGATGTTCCATAGTTATGTGACAGCTTACCAGAGGATTAGGAGGATTACGCAGCTGGGAACCTGCAGCACTAGCAGCACTAGCAGCACTACAGATCCGTGACGTGAAAATTTCTCTCGCTCCGTCGAAAACTGCACCACCTCGTGGTCATGAACCGTGACGCTCCAAACATGGTGAAAACATCCCGTCGCACACCCGGCCTTTCTGGCAAATCCATGGACGGCGGAAAAGTTGTAAAGTTTGAACTTCTCCAAAGTCTAGAATCTTGCACCATCTTGCACCTGTAACTGCCTGCAACTCTATGTCCATACTGCTGTGTTTGAAGAATCCTGCTTTGAAAATTTATTTGTGTCTGAACCTTGAAGAGATGTGTTTCACACACTCCAAGCAAAACAACGTGCTCGACAGTTGTTAAGATGCAGCTTCTGGCAAGTAGGATTAAACAGTAGGATCAACACCCCTACCGTATGTTTACCTCCCGTCTTGTGTATGTGCGTGTGCCCCAAGACAGTCAACTCGATTGATGCATTCGCTGAGGCGTTCACGATTTTTCTTGTGCTGGATGTTTGTTTCAGCTGCACTAAAATAGTTGTAACTCAATGGCCTATACCCTTTGGTTATTTGGCATAGCCATGGAAAATTGCCCATAGAAATAGATGATTTTCCCAGCGACATCAACCTCCATTTGTTTTCGGGATGTTCCATGGCTATGTTAGTCATAACCAGAGGGTACATGTTATAAATCCACGAAATAAATGAGTAAATCCACTATTTCTATGGCCATTTTCAATAGCTTTTTGTATGTCATAACCAGATGGAAATAGTTGAACCAACCATTTCTAGCGCTCAATGCACTTGCTGAATGTTGCTCGACCCCAACTGGGTCCCAACTGGGTGAGAAAGTCGGGCCAGGGCCAAAGATGGCCGGGTGTTATGATGAAATGGGTCCAGAACATTCAAGAACATTCAAGTATCATATATATATAATAGATAATATATATATATTATAGATACTATATATATATTATGAATACTATATAGATATAGATTTAATACTATATATCATATTGCACAATCTTGTACATATATTGTACCAGCAGGGCTTTTTTCAATCTCCCCTGACCACAGAAAATCGCGGTTCTCGCTTTTGTCGGATGCGCATCGAAAATTTCTTCACTCAGCTGAGCATCCCTTGGATTTAGCCACCTTGCTAGGCACCTCAAAGTGCTCATTGAAACACTTGGCACAAGCCCACAGGACACAACAGGACACAGGATGATTTGCCAAGTCACTGCTATTTCAATGAAAAACACCTGAATTCAAAACCGCTGCGAAATGATATTGAACAGAAACGAGCTTGATCATTCGGCACAGCTATATATTTCTGACATGTAATCAGAAATTCTGCACGGCATTGCACGACATGTTTGCAATGCTCAACCCCATGACTGGTCAGCAAACCATCGCTGAAAGGGAACAGTTGCAACTGTTGAGGAAGCGAACAGTGATCAGATCTCGTGTTCAAACACTGGAGCTGTTCACCGGGCACTTATATAATGGGAGCTAGTTCAAGAGGTGAAGACATGTGAAAACTGTGTATTTATCTCAGGAATCAATCATGATAAACGTACCCAGCAAACTGAGAATTTCCTGGCACATGATGCACTCAGCTTCGATGATCTTCTTCCAAATAATATGCAAATCTCCAAAGTCAAGGTCTGATCACAGAAAGTTTGGTGTGCAACTCGCATCATCAAGTTTTGTCAGTGCAATTTTCGGAAGCAAACCACCCAAAGCATCAAGGATCCCTGGTAGCTGAAATCTGAAAAACCGTGATAAACCGGCACAATGGCCCTGTGGACATGTAATGACAATCGGTACGGGTGGTCCGCTTCAAAGGCTCTTCTTCAAACACAGATTGGCATGTGTTTCTCCCATGACGACGGTGGAATTTTGCTACACGATCTTGGACAAGCACATTCCAATCAGCCGGGAACTGTTGGGTGGCTCAAAATTGGGTATCAAGCAGCCCGCCCTATCAATTTCAGACTATTAAACATACTAAAACCATACTTAGGTCATATGGTTCACCTTTTTTTTCAAGCATATTGAACCATCTAGTTCTGTCCATAAAATTTTGAACCGCTCCCAATGACCAGGTTTAGATCTGGCTCTTGCCGGTGCCACTTGCACCCTCCCAGGGCGTCACTTTCAATACGCTCCTTCTGGCGAAACCACCAAGTCTTGTGATCATCAAAGGGATACCAAAAAAAAGACAGAAGATTTCTTGAAAAAACTTTTTCTTGAACAGCTATATCATGTACCAGTATATATCATGTATATATCATGTATATCAAATGAATACACCATTGATATCATTGATCATACATATATACCAAACAATAGATGATCTATGATATACACATATATACACCATGTATATCAATGATCATATGTCACTATTATATCATATAACTATGGAAAATCACCATTTTTAATGGGAAAATCCATCTATAAATGGGCCATTTTCCATGGCTATGTTAAATAACCAGAGGGTATATCAAATGACTTCTTTGGTGAAAATTCATTGATCATCCCTGGAGAGCTTCAACTGGGCTGCGCCACGGCGCTCAGAGCTCGCCGGATGTCCTTCCCGGTCAAGTCACCTAAAGGGGAATTCCGGGTGGCGGCCGGAATTCCCACCGTCGAAAACGTCTAAAGGGCTGGGGTTCACGGGGAATTCCCAGAACTTTAATGGGAAACCATAGGAAAACCATAGGAAAATGGTGATTTCATGAGGGTTTATGGTGGTTGAATGGGATTTAAATGGATTTAATGGGATTTACCCGGCCTGGTAAACTGTCACATAAAACCCTGGAAAATCACCATGCTATCAATGGTTAAATCAACTATTTCGACTGGGCCATTTTCAATAGCGAACTGTTAAATTACCAGAGGGTATGTAGGGGAAATACATGGAACTATCATGAGAAACCCATGCTGGGACTCCCACATCAATGACAGAAGGACCAATAGAAACAACAGATAAAACAACAAAAACAAGCTCAAACATCTTTCAGCCGCTAAATTGAATATGTTTAATATCAACCCTGGATTGCTAAACCCCTAGGCTGTTTAATTGGGGGGGTATCAATTAAGTATCATATTATAATATATTATCAAACCATGGTATCAAACAGTGACTCATATATGATAATATATGATGATGTATGATAATATGTGATAATATGTGATAATATGTGATAATATATGATAATATGACACTTGATATGTGTTGATACTTAATAGTATATTAAAATTATGATATATGTTTCTATGATCATACATTGTATCACTATCTGAACCCATTAATGATCACTATTGACATATGATCACTGGAGAGTGTACCCCCATGTTAATTTAAACCATGGTCAGAACATCTTCAGTCACCTTGGACTTGTCCCAAGCGAGAGAGCTTCGTCGTCAGCAGCACGGAAAAGGCCTGGCCATTTTTTGTGCGACCTCTGTTGTTACCACCCTGGCAGAAAAAATCGATGAAACACCTGGAAAAAATGGTGGACTTCATCAATGGATGCACTGAAACACCTTCTTCACAGCTTAGTAAATCAACATAAATCAACTATGAATCAACTATGAATCAAACTGGTGGCTGTTTTGCGGTGACCAAAATGCTTGGATTTTGGTCATGTCACTTGCCGATCTTGCCACACCTCCGGATTGGAACAGCAAAACAGCAACGCCACGGCCAGTGGCCTAGTGGAGGCAATCACAAAATGGATTCGATCCCAAAAAAATCTCGAAAATCCTGATCGAAAATCCCAAAAAAATCTGATGTTTGATGATTTTTGAGAGAAAAAAAAACACCAAAACTGGTGAAACGACCGCCATGACTTCTCGACCAAAACTGGGTCATCATGGGGATTCATGATAGCCATGGAAAATTCGAAGCCATACCTCCATCCCATCGGGAATCTCATCCCATAACTGGTCCCTGCTGCGTAAAAACGCAGCAGAATTTTTGGGAATGATCCATAACTCATCACTATCAATTTCATAATCCCAGCAACCCCCAGCAACCCATCCAGCAACCCTACCTAAGTTTAGCACCAGTAAGATAATACGAGTACTGGCTAACGGGATTCTGCAGATTGTTTCAGTCATGGATTGTCATGTTCTCCACATTTCCCCACTAGGTTGGGAAGTACAACCCCCCTTTTTGAAGGCCCTACAACCAATCAACAAGAATCCTTGAAACCAAAGTCTAGGGATTGGTGATTGAATGGTCTTGGAGTCTTGAGAAAAAAAAAAAGACATATTGGGGATATAATTACCAGAGGTACAATGGTATTTTAAATGGCTCCATACAGTATCTTGGCGACTGAGCAGTCGACCATCGGATCGCAGCATGAGAGCTTTGTAAGGCTTGCAGGACCTGCTCCTTTAGTAAGGCTTGAGAGCTGAAATGATGAAACAAAATAAACAAAATGAGTTGGGGATGTAAGTGATATAAGGATATATAAGGCATGACACAAAAATGATACCTTTTCCTATACCTTTTCCTATGCCGCTGGCGGAAAATCACCAGTTTCAAAAAGCTTTCAATCGGTAAGTCATTGGAAGGCCATCGAAATCGAGTAGAAAATGTCGCATGGCCAAAGTTTCCCACATCGTTCGTCGTTCATCGTTCATGGTTTCCAGATGCTTCCAGTGACATCCACTTTTTTTGGAATCCATTCGAATCCCCATTTGAATCCCATGAGCCATGCCATGTCCCAACGGTCCTCTGCATATGCTGCAGCCCCAACCAGGGCCATCTGAAAGTCTGTAGGTGCGCCATCTGCCAGACGAGCGAGGCATTGTGCAGCCTGAGGCGGGCGACCGTGATGCGAACCTGCAGCTGACCCTGCTTTTGAAGCACCACACCCTCGTCTTGATTGGTCAACAACAACAACAACAACAAGAAGATGATGATGATGATGATGACGACGACTATCCCAATCCTTTCCAGTTGAAATTGGCCTCCTCTTGAACTGTTCCAGGGCAGGGGCGGAGGCCAACAGCCTTGCACACATGTAAAACCCAGAGGTTTCCTGTGGTTTATCCATATGGAAAAAGAACATAAACGTAAGCCCTATCCGTGCAACCCAAAAAAATCACGCCAATGGTTCTGCTGACAGCATATCGCTGGCACTTTTCAAATCGCCGCACTGTACGGAAGGCGATTTAGGCAGCAAAAGACATGGCAGGAGCCATGCAGGAGCCTTTCAGTGCGTGGCCATGGCAGAACGTGCCAGGCAAATTTGTCTCAGCAGAGCATTAGGAGCGATAAATTCGCATCGTGGAAGATGCTTCACCTCGACAAACTGGACAAAGTCGCCTTGGATTTCGCGGATTTAGCTGCTAAGCTCTGTCCTTCGCTGCATCGAACGGTATCAAGATGTATCAAGTATTGGAAGTGCTATGAAAAATGAGTGTAAAGCATGGCACTGAAACGTACAAAAAGTGCTTTCCTGTCATCGTCTTGCAGCAAGTGGCTCAGCAGCCATGATGCCAGTCATGCAACGATGACAGCCACATAAATGTCCACCTGGGCGAGTCAGTGTCCCAGTTGTCCCAGTGTCCTGCGGTGGTTTCACTCATCCGTTGAACCCTGATTTCGGCCGAGATTCATGGCACAACCGCTGTGTCGGCCGGGTGTTCCAAGCAAACCTGCTTCGCAGGTTTTCACATGGGATTCCCATGGAAGCAACAAGATTCAAAATGAAGAAATGTTTGGCTCACTAGATCATCTCTTCCATTTCAGTGTCATGCACCTTCTGCTAGCACCTTTCCAGCCGTTTTTTTTGTTTCACCAAATTGACAGTTAAATGGATGACATATACCCTCTGGTAAACTAACATAACTATGGAAAATGACCATATACAGTGGAATTTCCCATAAAAAATGATGAGTTTCCATAGTTTTTTGTATGTTTACCAGAGGGTAGCATAAATGGAGGAAATCTAAGTACCTGGCTACACAAAGCCCATCATCTGTATCGCCCGCCGGGGCTGTTGGGGCTGTTGGGGCTGCTGCTGCTGCAGCTAGAGCAGCTGGAGCTGCGGCTGCGACGGTGGAGGAGATTGCCTGGCAAACTCGGCAAACTCTCGACACTATCCACTGGTAAACTGTCACATAACTATTGAAAATCTGTAGCTGGAGCAGGCAGTGGGGTTATTGGGCTCGACCCCTATCCCAAACCAACAGGTCCACAGCCTAGATGCTGTAGGTCAAGTACACCACTTCCAACCAACGCGCAGCAGCAAGCGCACAGAGCGCTGTTTCCATGCACAAGGCCTCACAGGCCTGTCGCCGGTTTTGGCTTTCGCCAAGGAACTAAAAAGGGGCCCCTACCGAGCCGGATGCAACAGCATCGAAGGTTGAGGTGTGACCTGACATGGCCGGTGGAGTTGCACCAGCATAAAAGGACTTCAGGTCACAACTCACTGTACCATGGCTTGGTAGGGAAAAGATCGAACCGATCGGAACATCTCGTGAGCCAGCATGGATTGCGAGAACTGCTAAGTCATCTCGGTGAAGTTCAGCAGCATTGATTGCAAACGCATCCAGCTGATCTTGACGGTATAGTTCGCCAGCACTGATTGCGAGAGCATGCTCGGCATAGTTATCAAAGGCACCACTTGCAGTTAAAGGAACTTGCATGTCACCCAGAGCATCGTCGATTTTCTGAATCGCGGTGTTGCCGGTGCGCTTGTTCTTCTTTGCTGCAACGAAGTGTGGATCATATGCGATCGACCACAGTCGGTTCAACAAAAACTTCATCAAACCAACTCGGCTGTCAGCCCTTTTCTTCGTGAAGGCATCGGCAAGGTCGTAGTCGGATGCCACCCAACGTAGATCGCAATTGACCCGCTTCAAGCTGTCTCGAAGCTGAAATGCTTGGAGAGCCGCTCTCATGTTTGAAAGCCCAAGGAGAGGGGATTCGTTCACCTCCACAGCGTCATAGCCACCTCGGGAATCAGTGCAAAGAACTCCTGCTACAGCACAAGCTTGCTCTTCTGCAGCAGTTACCAGATCGGCTCGACGTTCAGGTCGGCATAGACCAACGCCATGAAGTTCGCTCCATAGCATGCGAACTCGGAAGTTCTGATCTTCGGCTTCAAGTATACTCTGAACTTCTGCATCGTTGCTTCCAATCGCCTTCCTCTTCAATTTCCAGCTTCGCCATGCAAGAAGGTTCATAGGGACAACCTTTCCAGTCAGGACATCTGGCCCAGCAGCCAATGTCAAAAGTCCACCAGTAGAATCACCTTGAGGACGATTTGCATGAGACTTGTCGCCCATTGAAATAAAAACCACATCGGTCCACTTCTTGGTGCCTGGAAGTTTGAAGAACTGAAGATGTTGAGGAGCAGCACGAACTTCGGAAACCATTTGTTGTATTTCACGTGCTGTCTCTATTGTTCCATTTGTTACAACTTCAGTCAAAAGCAGATTGCAACGAGCACATAGTTGAGGTTGAGTCTGGATGGCCAACCATTGCAAAGCGCCCAAGGTAGTTCGGCAAGCAGCTACCTCAGTTTTTGAAAGAGGTCCAGATTGTCGCCATCGTTCAGGATCCAAGTTGACATCCATGACAGTCTCGATGTAGGCATCCTGGTTGATGTGGATGGCAAACTGGCCATTCTCCTTTTTGACGGTCTGAATGTCCGTCCCAGCATGTCGGTAACTTCCTTGTTTCGAAGTTCCCCACTTGTATGCCGCCAGGACTTTCTGAAAAATGGCTTGCCATTCTTGACTATGTGGGTCGCCTACAACGTGAAAATCATCAACATGACCACCAATGGCGCCAATCAACCGAGGGTACTTGTTGGTCTCATCCTTCAGCTCTTTCGAAAACCAACCCCAAAGACATCGTTCGCCAAGAATCGGTACAGCACCAAGTCCAAAAAGCTTTTTGTGAAGATCAAGCCAAAGACCACGTGGAGCTGTTGTTGAGCCATAGATGTTTCTCAAAACACGCATGATGCCCTCATCTTGTAGGCCAAGAGCTGCACGTAGCTCGGAAACGCCAGTTGTCCAAAGTTCCTGATCGGCTTCTGTCGGCTGTGTTTGAAGAAAAGCGGTGGCCAAATCAAGTCCATGTATTTGCCACTGATGATGGGTTGCAAGAAGGTACAGCATGTTGCGCCCCACCATACTTTGAACAGGAGCCGCAGTCTTGAAGGTGCGATCAAGGAGTGAAGGATGCTGGAAGCCCAGCAAAACAATTCTGGCCTTGGCCTTTTTGGAGCCATCTTTTGTGAGGACAGTGTTGGGATCCTCACTTGCTTCTTTTCGAGCATCATCTATCTCATCAGGAGGCGTTGATTTCCATGTCAAAATCCATCGCGCCTTGATGATTCTTTGTGATTCAACAGCTCTACGAACTTCTTGATCATCCAAACAACGTCGCACGGCCTGGTTCTTCAAGAAGCTGTCCACTTCGCGTGACTTGGCCTTTTCAAAAAGAGCTCGATGTTCAGGTGTCAACTTCACCTATTGGACTTCAGCATTGCCAACCTTCTTGGCCATGAAAAGTGAAGGATTTCGCACGAGCTGCTTCCTTTGACGTTGGGAGTCCATGGAGAGGTCAAAGGAAATCATGAAGGCCTCTTCAACGCAGGGATCTTGAAGAGCAGTGTGGACATCCATAGTTTGAGCTTCTAAGGCCGCATCTTGTTGAAGTTGTTCGACCCACTTCATGTCGTATTCAAGGTTTCTGGGTCGTTTGCTTTCAGGAGCTTCAGGGTGTGGATCACCAGGTGAGTGTTCCTCCGGAAGGTCATTGATGGGAGTTCCAGGTTCATAGTCATCATCATAGGCATTGACTGGTTGCACAGGAGCATCCTCAGCTGGTAAGTCCAGACCAGCAGGTTGTGAAGAGGAAGCTGCTTTGCGGTCAAGTCCAGGTGACCGAGATCGTTCAGCACGTCCAAGTCCAGGGAGAGGTGCAGGATCTCTGACGCCAAGTCCAAGAGGCGTTGACCTGTGCACAGTTTTCCAGTCATCTGATTGGAGTTGTTTCTTCCCCCAAATCCGCATCGCAGGAATGACAGAGGTGTCATCAGGTTTTGGAGGCAGGATTTGTAGTTCAGGTTCATCAGGATCTGGAACTTCATCGGTGATATCCACAAACTCTCGTTCTGGAACAAGATCTGAAAGCGTCTTCATCTTGGTGACGTCCTCCTTGGAGTGCACATCATGATGAAATCTTTCCACAGCAGTCACAGGCCTGACACTGTGAACTGAGCACTTGAAGAGCTTGCCATGCATGAGCACCCAAATGATGTGACGTCGAGGATCATCACGATCTTGATGAGGAAGTAGTTCTGTGAAGACAACTCTTCCAGGTCCAACCCAGCCAGGTCTACTGGTGCGTTTCATTCCACCACGGGGACCTTTGTAAGCATCACTTGGAAGAACTTTGCGCCAAACTTTGACAAGGTCCGCAATCTCAAAGGTGCGCAATGGCTGTCTGGCCTTGCTATTGTTGAGCCTTGTCATGATTCTCTGCGCCCTTGTCTTCGTTGCTACATCTTCAGCTCTTTGACGAGCAGCAACCATCGAAGCAAAAGACGCACGATCACCAAGTTGGGCAAAAAGTCGACGGTCTTCCTCGCTGATGGTGTAGGCACGGCCAAACGCCCACTGATGTGAACTGAAGCCGCTGACAAACTCTGTGGAGTTAAGTGCAGAGGCAGCCAAGGTCAAAGTCACAGATGGATCCTGGGCAAAGTTGTCCATCTGGATAGCTGTTGCAGTGTGTTTGAACTCCCGCATTGCATTCTCAACCAATCCATGAGCCCAAGGTTCCTTTTCAGCAGGCATGGAGAGCTCGATGTTCTGATCGCGGCAAAAGTCAGCAAACTCTTTTGCCACAAAGCCCATGCCATTGTCGGGAATGATCACCTCAGGTTTTGGATAGTGAGCCAGCCAGCTCTTGGAAACAGCCTCAATCACTTGGGCAGAGCTTTCTGTACGCATCTGATTGATGCCGTAGGGCTCCATCAGTGGTATTGCAACACGCAGCTTGGTGGCATAGTCGATCATGAGCAAGAACTTGATCTTTTGGTTGAGGCCCGGCACAACCCATTCTGACGCATCAAGTCCAAGCGCCTGCCAGGGACCAAATTGAGCATGTGTTGCAGCAGGTGGCACGTTGCCGCTTGAAGCACCACCAGGTTTCAACCCTTCGCAAATTGGACAAGTGAAGTCCTCCGCCATCTTGATCTTCCATTTGTCCAAGTTGGCATCACGGACAATTCGGCTAAGGTTGCGACTTGAGCAGTGACCAGCCGCCTTGTGGAAGTGCATGAGTTTGGCCTTCCACCGTTCACGTTCTGCAGCATTGGGCGGTTCATCCGCAGGATTTGGTGCAGGAGGTTCAGCACCAGCCGCAATCTCGCCAGGTTCTTCATCAGCAGGGGCCGCAAAGAGGTCAATGTCCTCATCGTCCACAAGCTCCTGGAAGTTCATGCGCCGTAGTTGTTGATTGCTCACAGTCTGCTATGCCCAAAAACGAGCAATGGACTGTACCATCTTCCAGGGGTAATAGCTTGATTTCTGAGTTTCACGACCCTCAATGCGTCCGTGGCAATGTCCACCTTGACATACTTTGCAACGAAACTGACTGTGAAAAAGTTCATCATTTGTTTTCACCAACCATTTCTTTCGCAGAAAGTTTTGTTGTGCATCAACCATACCATAGCGACATCCATCGATACGACAATCCAACCACTCATGCCCATGTTTTTCAAAAAGTGCTTGTATTGCCAAAAGCGGTTTTTGTTTCCAACCAAAGCAGGGATGAGGCCACTCGTAGTAAACCAACAGTTCAGGGTCATCCTCCAAGGCCTCGGTGAGAAATTCATGAGCATACCAGAGAAGTCGCCGTTCACGTCGTCGATGATCTTCAAGAAGTTGTTGCCGCTCCGGTCCAACATAGTTGAGGCTTGACCATTGGCACCAGAATGTGCAAGGAAGAGACCACCATAGACGTCGAGGTCGATGTTTCCGTCGTAGTGCACGTAGATGATCCCAGGTCTCCTTCTTGTAGAGGTCATAGCCGGACTGCAGGTTGATGCGCCTCGGATTCAAGCCTTGCATCTGGGCCGCCTCGGAAAGCCAAGAGTGTGGAGAGCATGCAATCTCCCATAGTCCATCACGGTCATCAAGTGCAAAGGAAGCCATCATAGTGGTTGCCGTCGCCAACATGGTAGTTGCCAGGAACATCACCTTTGCCGCCAGGCGATGTGTGAGCTCATAGGTCTTGTTGGCGTCCTTGACATTCTTTGAAACCTTGGCATTCTTTGTCACCTTGATATACTCAGTGTCCAGGTCATTCTCAAGCACCTTGGGGTTCTGTGGAGTCTTGACATTCTTGTAAGCCAGGTCATTCTTTAGGACATCTCCGCCGGATTGGCGTTGTTGGCATTCGGATCCACATAGCCCTCCGCCGGCATGTAGGCATTGTCCACCACATCCCATTGAGCCACTGGTGAGCTCGATGCTGTCGAAGGAGACGGCTTTTTTGTTTTTGCCTTTGTCGACGGGAAGGCGCCGTTGAACGCCTGAGCATCCATCTCCTGGTTGATGTGGGTCTGCAGCACCTCTTCGGCTTCGATCAGCTTCACCATGGCCGCGCAAATCGTCTGATTTGGGCGGTAGCCGTTCATCATTGGTTGCAAGCGCTGCAGCATCTTTTGGATCATCACAGGGTTCTCGACCTTCGTGGAACCACTGGCGCTTCCCTTCTTCGGCACATACTGAAGACGTAGGTTGCACACCATGCAGTGCACCCAAGCTCCATGCGCATTTCCCTGAGGCTTCGACGGAGTGTGAGCTCCGTGACATGGCCATTGTTGGGAGTCGGCACGAGGGTCCCTTGGGTCGTGACCCATCGTGCGCTCCGGGTCCAGAGGTCTGGAAGGAGCCGGTTTCGGCATGGCCTTCTTGATTGCATCCCGTACTTGTTCTTGTCGATGTTCCTGCGCCATGGTCAGTCTGCACACAGGAAGCGGATGCGGTCGAATTGGAAATCGCGGGGCTGTCTCTTGGACACATTGAAGCCAGAGTAGCTTCGGCATTCGCATCAGCATGACCATGTTGTTGTGCATGTAGTGCCATCAGGTTCCTTCTCGATCTTTCCAAAACATGTTCATCATGTACATGGTCAGACATGCTCATGTCATAGAACTCAACCGGGTGAAATTCAAGAGTTTGCAGCTCGGCAGACTGGATGTGACCCTCCATGACATGTATAGTTGGATGACCTTTTTGATTTGAATGCCCCAATGTAAGGTAGTAGACAATGTCCCGAATGTAGTGCCCCTTATTGTTACTGGGTAGTTGATGTATTGTTGGTGAAGGATTCAAAGACTCGACAGCCAAACCAGTGTTGAAGTCAATTGTCAAAGCGCTTTCTGGGCTGTCCCTACCACTCAAATGATCCATCCCCAACAGCACGGGTACCATGTTCTTTGGGTCCACATTCTTGGGGTCAGGCAAACAATACATGTGAAAATTTCGCTCAGTGCCAGAAACTTTGGAGGAAATAGTGACTCTAAAATTGGCTTGCCCCCAACAACCATTCCCAAAGCGAAAGTAAGGCCGCATGTATTTCGCAATGGTCACAGCAGCTCCTCGATCCTGAGCCAGTACAGAGTTGATTAACTTCTGCACGCTAGTTTCAGGCCCAGCACTTGCAGTAGCGCCGCAATCGAGAAGACCAAGATTGGGTGGCATGTTAGTTGCCGCATTGGATTGAGCCTCATAGGTTTCCTGCAGTTCCAAGCCGTACATCACCTGGTTCTCAGCAGCGTAAGCATTCACAACTGGACGGCTTGGTGACTGCTTGGCTTTTCCTTTTCCTTTCCACATCGCATTCACGTCAGCCAGGCTGGCATGTTTGCCCTTGCCCTTGTTTTTGGACTTGCCTTTACCCTTCATGTAGTAGAGCTCAGCAGTCTCCCAATCCACCATGTATGCATGAGGAGATTTCCCCTTACCTTTCCCCTTCATGTACGAAGGATGGTATTTGTCAGGGCAATCTCGTGCAAAATGATTTCCACCACAAATGAAGCACTTGCCATCATTGGGAGGACGCTGATGTCCAAATCCACGGTCTTTGCGAAGCAGGGCAGTTGCTCGTTGAGCTTCGGCCCAAGTTCTCTGAGCTTGAGCGAGGATGTTCTCTGCATCACCCTCAGCCTTCATTGCATCTTGTAGTTGAGGATCATCAGCACCATCATCTTGTAGAGGAGGTTCAGGTTGAGAGTGTTGTAGATCACCCCATTGATCCCAGTCAGGCTCAGCCCAGTAGTCGGCTTCGCTCCAGTAGTTCTCACCCCAATCATCATGCCAATTCGGGTCATAGGTCTCGTCAGACACCTGGAAGGACTCATTGTAGTAGCCCGCCATAGAACTCTTCAAGGAAGTAGTGCTGCGTCCAAGAAACTGCTCATCCCATAGAGTCTGAAGTGCCTGTGTCACCACCTCGAACTCAAGACTTCCCTTCGTCGTGGCCAAGATGTCCCTCTTCTCATCAGGACTGAGTCCAGCTGATTGTAACAACCGGAAGCCTCTCAAGACACCCAAGACGAAGCTGTCGGCCAAGGAGAACTCGTTGATCTCACCTTGAACTTCGCCTGCAGCTGAGGTTCCAGGAACTCCAACAGAGCGAAAACCGGCATCAGGTTGAGCACGTCGAATTGGAGACATACCCACAGAGCCTTCTGCAGCCGCTGTAGCCATAGGTGACGCCGTAGGTCTCGCCGGTGAAGTAGGTGAAGCAGCAGCACCAGGAGGTTCTTCTTGTTCTGGATCATCATTTGCATCATACCACCAATCAGCCCATCCATCACGGGGAGCTTCTTCAGGTAGATCAAATGTTTTGTCATGCTGCTGAATCCCTTTCTTGTCCTCATACAACAGCAGGAGCGCCTCCACGAACTCAGAGTAGCCCAAGGCCTCCCTGACAAGGAAGTTGTTCATGGCTTCTCCAGCTTCACGTCTAAAGCTGAAGTACTGCTGGCATGTTGCAGCAGCGTTCGGCAATGTTCGCCTCACCAGTGGAGAAGCTGCCAATCTTTGTAAAAGATCTCGGACTCCATTCACATGGTCAAATTCCATTGTAGTCCAGCTCATAGCCAATAGTCGAGCAGGACCACGTAGTTTCCCACCAGTTTTGTAGCGCAGTACCTTCTTTTCTCAACTGGTGTGGCCCTCACATACCAACAAACCTCACGTGTATACCTTCGCCATGATCTTGCGCTTCCGTCCCAAACTGGAACGTTTTGTTCCTTCTCAGATGACATCTCCTGAGAAGTGGTTGATGGCCAAAATGGCCTACAAAGGATCCCAGCCGCGTCACTGGGGAGTGCAAATTCAAACTGGTAAAAGAGCTCGGCCAAAAGGTCGTGGAAGTTCAGGACGTAGTATCCCGCTTCGACCAGCCAAAAGGTTCAAGTCCACGCTGTAGCGCCGGAGATTCAAGTCACCTTCAATGACGATCTCAACAGGGCCAAAACGTAAGGCCTGGAGCTTCTGCTCCGCTACCAATGTAGCTGGAGCAGGCAGTGGGGTTATTGGGCTCGACCACTATCCCAAACCAACAGGTCCACAGCCTAGATGCTGTAGGTCAAGTACACCACTTCCAACCAACGCGCAGCAGCAAGCGCACAGAGCGCTGTTTCCATGCACAAGGCCTCACAGGCCTGTCGCCGGTTTTGGCTTTCGCCAAGGAACTAAAAAGGGGCCCCTACCGAGCCGGATGCAACAGCATCGAAGGTTGAGGTGTGACCTGACATGGCCGGTGGAGTTGCAAAATCACCATTTTTAATGGGAAAACTCACAAAAAATTGCCATTTTCAATAGCTATTTTGACATAACCAGAGGGTATCCACACTTCCATCACCTGAAAGCCACAAGAATCATCGGGATCAGTGGAATCCATCGAATCCATCGAATCCATTTTTTGAGAACATGATGTGATAACCTTTCAAGAGAGCCAGAAATTTCCTGAGCAAATTATATGTTTTTATCATTTTTTACCCTCTGGTAATTTAACATAGCTATTGAAAATGGCCATTTAAAGTGAGTTTTCCCATTAAAAATGGTGATTTTCCATAGCTTTTTGTATGTTTACCAGAGGGTATCCCTCCTGAGCCGCGGCTGGCCAATGCGCTTGCTGCGCTTGCTGCGCTTGCTGCGCTTGCTGCGCTTGCTGCGCCACGGACGGAGCTGATGGTTCAAAGCGTTCAAAGTCTGCGGGTGGAGCAGAAGGAATGGGAAGCTCCTGCAGAGCTGGCGGAGCAGCGCTGCAACGCTCGGTTTTTTTGCTGATTCGAAGGGGCGCAGCAAAGTGTGTGTCTCAATAAGCCTTATGTTATGATTACATATTGGGAAGTATTGGGAAGTATATGTGTTTGTAAATTAGTTGCCTTAATGAGCAACACCGCGACTATGGGTAGTTGGAAGCCTATTTATATCTGCCATTCTCTGCCATTCTTGCTGACAGCAAAGTCTGACAAACAGAACATAACGGAACTCATTGCAATGTTTCAAATAAGCAGAATGATAAGAGGAACCCGAGCGTTTCAAAAGCCAGCGACCTCTGCATCAGCAGCAGGAGATGTAAGCAACGAGGAATATTCTTCGGCAGGTGCCAAGCCCCTGAAAGCAATCTGGGGACGTCGGATCACATCGGAATCTTCAGTGGTCTTGGAATTCTTCCATATTTTTCTATCTTTAACATTAAGTTAACATTCTTTAACATTGATATATACTTTAATGTGTTGGTTCCTTTCTTTTGATCTCACTCTCGGTCAATTTCTCGGATGTTCTTCCATGTTCATCAATGTCCATCAACGTTCATTTCGCGGATGTTTTTGGTACATCAGATTGCAATTTCTTGTTGCTTCACGGTGATGTAACTACCACAAACTAGCCGTAGTGGCGCCAGTCTCCTCTAAATTTCCTGGTGATACTGAAATAATCTCCATACTATGTGGACAATGCTGGTACTGAAATATACTGAATTGCACATAGTATGTTTACATATTTTATGTTCCACATAGTTTATACTGACTGAAATATACTGAAATATACTATTGACAATTTCATCTGATTGGTGGTTTCAACCCCTCTGAAAAATATGAAAGTCAATGGGAAGGATGACATCCCATATATTCTGGAAAATAAAAATGGTTGAAACCACCAACCAGTCATGTTCCACATAGTTTATAGCCTAATCATCACCCGTATGCCGGTCGCATGGGTCGCATGGCCGTACCCAGCCTACCCCTCAGCAGTGGACTTTGAAGCAACTTGCCCAGCTCTTCGCGGTCGTTGCTACTGGAGAACCTCCGGAATCTCACAAATTCTTCAGGTTTTTACCCGGCCTGGTAAACATACAAAAAGCTATTGAAAATGGCCCAGTCGAAATAGTGGATTTACCCATCAATAGCATGGTGATGTTCCATGGTTATGTGACAGTTTACCGGAGGGCATCAATCTGTTCTTTGTCCTTATTTATGGTTGTTTCCACATATTTCAACCTATTTCAACCATTTGGGACTGCTTAGTACTCGAGATTGCCCAACCAAAATGATGAGTTTTCGTTGGATCTGATGTTTGTGACCCCAAAAAAATCGCTATGTCGGGTGCATAGCGCTGACCGCCCGAAGCGGCATGTGGTGCCTCAACGAAAGGTGGAACAGAGTCACGTGGTCCTGTCATGACAGGATTTTGAATCGGCTCTTTTAATGGAAAAACATGATGGAACCAAAATCATCCAAAATGATGAACTATACCATGACTATACTATAGACTATACTATAGACTAGACTATAGACTATACTATAGACTATAGTTATAGTATGACTATAGACATCTATACCTTCTGGTTATGACTAACATAGCCATGGTATAGATGGCCCATAGAAATAGATGATTTTCCCATTACTGTAAAACCTCCATGGCTATTTTTGGGATTTTCCAGCCAGCAAACTGTGAATGTCATAACCAGATGGTAGATCCTTAGATCCTGATTCACCATTTTTCCTGCCAGTGTTTGATTTAATGTCAACCCCGGATGAAAATAAACCATGGTTTATTAATTAGGGGGTACTCCTCCAATAGTCATTTCATCTGATACTTTTTTTATGGTACCCTCCCAATTAAACAGCCCTAAACGGGGGTTTATTAATCCAGGGGTGTACCCTTTGGTAAATTAACATAGACCCTGCCAGTTGTCGGGGTTGGAAGACTGGTAAAACCACTATAAATTGGTCATAAAATCAGGGTCCAACTGTTAATTGATCATTTATGGTTAATCAACCAGATGGTAGATCATAAATTGATCCTTATCCTGATTCACCATTTTTCGACAGTGTTTGATTTATGTGTCTCCTGAGTGTGGGAAATGGTCATGGCATACTGCCGATCGGAGTTTGCCAGAAGCTTTCGCAACCAACCACCTGAAAACGGCACGTTGCAGCTGCGTGGGCGAGGAGTGGGAAACAATGGGGACCATCAATGATCCATATCCCAAAAAGTGGCCTAATGGCCTGCGGATAACGTACAACATTGGTGAATAACTTACAACTTATCGGATATCCAGTATACAGTATACAAACGTTTTAAAAGTTCCAAACTGGCTACCAAGTTTCCCTGGGGTCTCGGCTACCCTGCCCAACAATGTTCACACCACTCCCATCCAAAAAGCCACATGAAGTGCTCTTTTTCAATGGGATTTCATGGGGATTCCATTGGTTTAATGCCAAAAAAAATGGGGAAATCCATGAGATCAGTCTGAAGTCCACCCTTTTCCCAGGCGTCCCAGGCGCGGCCTTTCTCTCCATCCATCGTCAGCTGCATGCCATCTGTGGGGATGGGAAGCACCATAGAGGGCTCGGGTTCCACATCTCCATTGGCCTCACTGAAATGTGAAATGGGATCATTGATTGTCATTCATGATCATCATTTACCCTCTGGTAATTTAACATAGCTATTGAAAATGGCAATTTATAGCGAGTTTTCCCATTAAAAATGGTGATTTTCCATAGTTATGTGACAGTTTACCAGAGGGTATTTATGATCAAATTTATGATCATTATCCACCAACCAGATGATCATTTATTTATGTGTGATCATGTATGATTCAAACAATTTATACATTCATGAAGTCATCCATGAAGTCATGAACCCTGTCATACATCTGTATGATCATATCATTAAAAAAAAACAATATCTTTAAAAAAAAACTAAAAAGTCTTTCAAAGCAGCACCTTTATAAACATTTATAAACATTAAAATAAAGATTCCATAAAACGACCATCACCATCCATCACCTGCCTCGGCCTCGTAGAGTGCCAGCTGCAAGGAGGTGGGAATCACCAGCAGCGTCTTGCAATGCTCACCTTGGTGAAACATCCAGGCTGAAACCGGACTTTTTTTAACCAAACATGGCGGTTTTGGGGGGAAGATAAAGTGTGACTTGGATTAGATGTAGATGATGATGATGATGATGATGATGATCATGATCATGATCATGATCATGATCATGATGTACATGTCATGTACATGTGCTACATGTGCTACATGTGCTACATGTGCTACATGATGTACATCATGTACATCATGTACATCATGTACATGTGCTACATGTGCTACATGTGCTACATGATGTACATCATGTACATGTGCTACATGTGCTACATGTGCTACATGTGCTACATGTGCTACATGTGCTACATGTGCTACATGATGTACATGTGCTACATGATGTACATGTGCTACATGATGTACATGTGCTACATGATGTACATGTGCTACATGATGTACATGTGCTACATGATGTACATGTGCTACATGATGTACATGTGCTACATGATGTACATGTGCTACATGATGTACATGTGCTACATGTGCTACATGTGCTACATGATGTACATCATGTACATCATGTACATCATGTACATGTGCTACATGTGCTACATGTGCTACATGATGTACATCATGTACATGTGCTACATGTGCTACATGTGCTACATGTGCTACATGTGCTACATGTGCTACATGTGCTACATGATGTACATGTGCTACATGATGTACATGTGCTACATGATGTACATGTGCTACATGATGTACATGTGCTACATGATGTACATGTGCTACATGATGTACATGTGCTACATGATGTACATGTGCTACATGATGTACATGTGCGACATGTGCTACATGTGCTACATGTGCTACATGTGCTACATGTGCTACATGTGCTACATGTGCTACATGTGCTACATGTGCTACATGTAGCATAAAACATCGTAAAACATCGTAAAACATCGTAAAACATCGTAAAACGATGATGAAAACCCTTGGGCTCAGCTGGTTCCCTGGATGATTTCATTAACCCTTTCCCCATCTTTTCCCCATCTTTTCCCCATCAGCTGTGAGGCATCGGAAGGTCTCGACGAAGTCAGGAATGGGATTTGACTTGCCACAGCAGGGACATCGATGGTTCATGGATGTTGTCGATAGGTGCTCACGCACCATATGTTGAGCCTGTCGATTTGGAGTTGACCACCATGAGGCTTCAAAAAATCAAAGCTTTGGCGAATAATGTCAGCATATCCAAAAATCAGTAGATGAAGGGTCATGATTACCATAATGTCATGATTACCATAATGTCATTAGCATATCATAATGTCATTCTGTTCATGGGGGGTCCACCAGATTACAAATTATAAGGGTTTTTGAATGGTTTTTGAATGGTTTTTGAATGGTTTTTGAATGGTTTTTGAATGGTTTTTGAATGGTAAAATGACCTTTTGTGGCTGGGAAGTCATTTGATTTGTCTAGCAACACTTTCACAAATTGAAATGAAGTGGGCATAGCATGGAGTAGATTGCAATATAGAAGACAAGAATACAAAAAGTTTATGGGAATTGGAATCATTGAGAATCTGGCAATGCACATACCAAGCAAGCCAACTGCAGCCAACTCAAATCTAGAACTGCTGCTGTTTCTGAATCGGATTCAAAAAAATCCGTTTCACGAAACAGCAGGCAGCCTGCCTTCTTGATGAAGTTATGGAAGTCGCCCCGTGCGAAAAGGCTTGGACCCGTGTTGTGTCTCCGGTCCCGCACCAGGACGAGCCATTTGGATTTCACCGTGGGGATCCTCACGGTGGGGATCCAACATCAGTGCTCCATGTCACCATGTTCCGCGTTTAAACTAAGAATAGCCATGACGGATCCATGGTGCTGATTATGGTGCTGGTATATTAATGCTAATATATATATATATACCACCATAATCAGCACCATTAATGCTAACATAAATGCTAACATGACTGGGAAAATTTCTTGAGATCCATCGAGCACCATATCCATATATAGCACCATGGATCCGTCATGGGATATAAGAATACTAGCCGACCTCGCCGACCGACGATCCCAAGAGCCAAGTGTCATCAGGAGTTTTTGCTCGTGATCCACCCAGCCCTGCCACAACACAGCATGCGCTTCAAGAGCGCGCACACAACTCTTGCAACGACTTCGACGGGCCAAATCCAGTGGGGTGCTCCTCAGATGCGATGCAAGGCTGAGCTGAAGCGAATGAGGTGTCTGAGGAAACTCATCTTGGTAAGTCGTGACTTCGGGACTCATGGCCCAAACAACTGAGTTAGCTCGAAAAAATCATCAGTCCGACTTGCCAAGATTTGGTTGCAAGACACAAAATGACAAACCACATCAAACCACTCTGCAGCTGTGGGGTCGTTAAGGGTTTCCACCTATCCCCCCCTCTTCTTGACTTGAAATGTGTTTTTTTGGGGCACAGTCCCATGTTTCTGGAGCAACCCTCATCTTTCAACCCATCTTTCTGCCTCAAAATCATTCAAAATTCAACCGGAAATACCGGAAAATCATGGTAAATCGCCAACTTTATCCACAAAAGTGTCACCAAGAAAACACTGCAGCATGTTAGCACCATGTTTTCCAAAAACTCACATTCATCCCACATTTCAGTATTTCCAACATCTGGCAGTGTGTCAAAACCTTGTACCCCTTTTTTGTTCACATCAAAATAGCTGGGATTTATGGATGTTCATCCCATTAAAAATGGTATTTTCATAGGTATTGATCCATAGCCATATGATTATATAATCATCCATTAATCATCCCATTAATCATCCATTAATCATCCCTTTAACCATCACTATTAACCACCATATGATAACCATATTGTTGTCCCAGTGACCCCAGCTCCGTGGCCGCAAAGGCATCGGCCCGTCGCGCCAGCAGCAGCTGCACGCAGCCCGTGCAGTGCGGCGCCGCGGCGGTGCGCGCGGCGCAGTGCAGCGCCGTCCACTGCGTGGCGTCGCGGCCATGGAGATCCGCGGAGGCGTCCAGGAGCAGCGTCACCAGGTCCAACCTGACGACCGACTGATGTTTTTTTGGGGACCTTTACTTTAATGGGACTTGCTATTGAAAGTGAATTGGATGTGAAATCATATATCATTACATACATGATTACATATACCCTCTAGTAAATTAACATAGACCCTGAAAGTAACCAATGTTTAATGGAAACTAATCTTCCAACCCCTATCTGGCAGGGTCTATGTTAATTTACTGGAGGGTGTATATATATAATATCTATAGGCATGTGTAGAGGCTATATCGGATGACTTTGTCCGGTTTTTGATCCTGGGCCTGGCATTCTTCGCTGCAATCAGCAGTGGTGATCCTCCATGTTCGGCCGAGACCTCGTTCAGCACCTGCTGAGAACCTGCAGGTTGCTGAGAGCTGCAGCAAAAACCAACTTTCCCAATGATACCCTCTGGCCATTTATAGTGGATTTAATGGCCATTTATAGTGGATTTAAGCACTTGTAACATAGGATTTATAGGATTTATAGGATTTATGGTAGAACTTGTACCCTCTGGTAAACATACAAAAAGCTATTGAAAATGGCCATTGAAATAGTGAGTTTTCCCATTGAAAATGGTGATTTCCCAACCGGTAAACATACAAAAAGCTATGGAAAATATCCATTGAATAATATTTAATAGCTGGGTAAATCAACTATATCTATGATCATGATACACTGAAAAATTGACAGCTTGGAGTGCCAAGAATGTCAAGTGCACGAATTTTTCACCAAGATCAATCTCTGCCCATCCCTCAGGTTGCAAAATCAATCCGAAATCAATCTCTGCCTTGTTGCGCATTTTGCCGCAACAACCTCTCCACGCTTTGGACATCCCCTCTTTGCACAGCCTGACAGAGGTCCTCACATGGACATGGCAAGTCACTGAGTCACCTTTCTGAGCCCAGTCTGTGGTCAATTGTCGTTGTGAAGGGTCCTGATTCGCTTGCCTCAATGCTTGGTTACCCATGGCTGCGCGAAGCTCATGGCGGTTTTTGCTTCGTTGGGAGTTGGGGTCGAAGTTCGAAAGGCTCAAATGTGGGCTACTAGCAGTATGTAATCTCCTATGGCGGGCAAAACAAAATGAGTCGTCAGTTTGTCAATAAAAACCTGACTGAACTCCAACCGGTCTGCTGCTCTCCGCATGTTGGCAAGGTTGCTGAAACTTGAAGTGAGAAGATGGCAATGAAAGCATTGCAAATGTGACATTCGTCATTGTTGTAGCTTGACTATGATAAATGGCAAGTGTACCGCTGTGGGGCGCAAAGTCTCACAAGAGCTACTAGGCATGGGCCAACCCCGTCGACTTTCCTTTACAATTCCTTTACAAACCACGACAGAGCTCATTTTTTGGTGGCCTACCAGGCCTACTATTTAATCACGTCGACTGAACAGAGTGGAAATCTCGAGACCCCAGAGTCCCAGAGTGCTGTGCCGGGTTTCCAAGCTTCCTCCAGCAAAACTGAGACATCATCAATTCGCATGGCCTCAGAACTGACCCAGTAGATCCAACAGGAACCTCCTTTTGTCAGAATCCAGATCCACGAGGGAATGCAGCTTGATCTTCGAACGTTTTTTCAGATTTTGAAGCACCATTTTATGGTGTAACTGGGCCCAGTTACTAGCCATAGCCCATTTTCATATAGCTTTTCACTCATATTCCCACAGATTGGCTACCTGGGTCGCACAGTGGTCGCACTGCTCAGGAGGGGACAGACTCGGTCGAACTGAAATTGCTCTCATCATCCTCGAAGCGGAAGCCGCTGCGATTCTTTTCGAATTTCCATGGTGATTTCATGGTGATTTCATGGTGATTGCATGGTGATTTCAACAATGATCATGGCTTAATCATGGATTGATGAGAATGGGATGCAACAGACCCGGAAACTCCGTAAACCCAATTTGATGTGGATCATGGCTATAGAATTTCGGGGGGAACTCAACCCGACGAAATTGGGAACTCAACCCTTGGGACTACAGATGGCCAGCGGAAGCGCGGAAGCCTTCCCTGATCAGCCGATATTCCCCCGACTCCTTATGGAGTGATTTTGTGATATTCTCATCTATGACGATCCCTAATGGATCACATATATATATATATATGTATATATATATATATATGTATATAAATGTATATATATATACATATGTGTATATATATATGTATATATATATATATATGTTGGGTATGGGCATGGCTAGAAGCAAAATTGGATGGTTGCACTTGAGGATCAATTGAGATACCAAAAGGATTTGTCGGAGTGGAGGAGACCAGAATTTCCTGGCGAAAATGGCGAGAAATTCGTTGATCATCCCCGTTCCACGACGGATGATACACCTGATACTCCCCTCAAACATATTGGGATGATTATGGAATGCTTATTGTTCAATATACTGTACATTACTGTACTAAATGTACTAAATTTACTAAATATACCATGATATCTCAATATTGATGATTTCATGATGGTATATAACTTCTATAACCATGATATGTTCAAAAAAATCATACCATCATACCATGATCCCCACCAACATCGCACCAAGGACACCTCTGAATCCTCGGCTTGTCTCAGGAAGCGCCGCCTAGAGATGACGATTCAGTCCGGTGAAAGTCATTTGGAAACCTGGGACCTAGAACCAATGATGGAACCAATGATGCCATTGCCATTTTGAGAAATACCATATTAGAAATGCCAGATTTTTTAGAAATGCCATTTCTGGCTCCCAAAATCATCCCCATTTCTAGTCATTCCATCAATGCTTCGAAAAAAACCAGATGACAAGTGAATCTGTCAGATATCAGTGGTATCAGTGCTATCTTTCCTATCTTCAGGTCACTGAGACATCGGCCTGAGAAGGTCGTAGATGGTGTGGCAAACGCGGTGAAAATGCACCACACTGTGTCGGCCCAAGTCCTGAAGAAAACTAGAGACGTGTAGATTGGGGGGCCGGAAAAAGTATGTGAAATTGTAGATATTGAAAATTGAGATGTTGAAATTGTAGAAAACTATGATCAACTCTGTGAAAAAGTGGCTTGAAAAAGGTGTTTTGAAAGTCCTTGAACTCCAGGACACTGGACATCGCTGCAGGCAGAACGCGAACCTGCCATCGGAGCTGTTTCCAGTGCTTTTGGCGACAAAAAAAACGATCCGTTCGTTCCGTGACCTGCAGGTAGACTGGGGTCCAATTGATGAAGACGGTAGCAGAAATCCTCCGTTCCTCGAGCGGAGGAAGATCAGACTCCGATCATCGCAATGTCGTTCTGTGCGTTCGTTCTGTGTTTTGTTCTGTGTTTCTGGTGTTTTTTTTATTTTGGTGGATTGTCATAGAAAATCCAAATTTCCAAAAAAAAACTCAAATCATTCGCGTCTATGATCATTTTCGGAAGAGCTCGGTCCTTCTCGCGTACTTCTTCACAAAGTACAGCATACTTCAACGACCTGGCCAGGTCTTGCAGGTTAGGGGTTTTCAATGGTTTTCAATATCCAAAGTCAAAGCAAAGTCAAAGCAAACCATTAAATGATGTGTTGATGTGTTGATGTCTGTTGATTTCTGTTGATTTCTGTTGATGTCTGTTGATTTGTATCATCTGAAACCTCAAATTGTAGAAGCATCATACATCAATAAAATCAATAAAATCAATAAAATCAATAAAATCAATAAATGGATGTTCATGATACGTGATTCCCAGATCAAACTAGCTGAGACCTAGCGCAGTTTTAAGGTCATGGCCCCAGGCAGCAAAGTATGTCCTCAACGTGCGGGATCGTGGCGAACGGAAATGTCGGAAGTCACGAGTCGTCGCGACTGAAGTCATAGTGTGTGTAGTCCCCATGGCTAACCTTTAACAAAAAGTTCAAGAAAAGTGACATTCCAAAGATGTTCAAATGATATTCATCAAGGCTCTTTAGAATGTAAATTAATGTAATATAATGTTGGTAGTGTTACAAAAGGTAATATCAGGTCAGGTATATTAAATATCATGTTACCCTCTGGTAAACATACAAAAAGCTATGGAAAATCACCATTTTCAATGGGAAAACTCACTATTTCTATGGCCATTTTCAACAGCTTTTTGTATGTTTACCAGAAGGTATCCATATCATTTGATCACTATTAAACCACCATAAAATCACCATTTATTAAACCACCATAAAATCACCATTTAGAGTGGTAAGATCACCATTTTCCTATGGTAAAATCACCAGTTCTTACAAGATTTTCGGCTCTTCCGCAAAAGGCGCTCGGCTCGTTTTGAAACGGCTCTCCTGCCCCAAGACACTGGTGAGTTCCAAGAAGGCGGCGTGGCTTGGCAGGGGCACCTGGAAAAATGGTCATTGCCACAACATAATAACAATAACAATTTAACAACAACAGCAACAACAACACCAACAAGAAGATGATGATGATGATGATGATGATTTAACAGCAATAATAATTTAACAACAACAATATCTATAATATCTATAATCCATGAATCCATGAGCCCATGAGTCCTTATTTCTCAACGCTTCAGAGCTCTTCCTTCCACTCCCTTCAAATGGCGCAGACCAAAAACAAGGCAGACCAAAGTCTTACCACCAAAAAAAGTGGTTGTCTTTAGTATCAATGGGAATTTCAGGATCCTAAAATGGAGGTACTGTACCATATGGTTGGCCATATTTTGTGGGGATATTACTAAAATAGCCATTGATCCCAATAACTCAACATTAAATCACCATTAAATCACCAATAAACCACCATTAAACCACCATTAAATCATCATTAAATCCCAATAAATCGCCAATAAATCCCAATCAATCATCATTAAATCCCAATAAATCACAATTAAATCACGAATAAATCCCAATAAATCACCAGTAAATCACCATTAAATCACCAATAAACAACCATTAAATCACCATTAAATCCCAATAAATCCCAATAAATCACCAGTAAATCACCATTAAATCACCAATAAACAACCATTAAAACCATTAAATCCCAATAAATCACCATTAAATCACCATTAAATCACCATTAAATCCCAATAAATCCCAATAAATCACCAGTAAATCACCATTAAATCACCAATAAACAACCATTAAATCACCATTAAATCCCAATAAATCACCATTAAATCACCATCATCTCAGTCTCTTTTTTTTGCAGAAAAGTTCTGCGTGACTGCATATCCATGTGTTTCGACTGCATTAACATGCACGTGTCTTACATCACATCTCATCTCTACAGCTACATGTTACACATGAGGTTTTACCCATGGTATGCTGCCACTTTCCACTCCACACTCCACACTCTACACTTTCCACTCCACACTGCAGACTGGTAACAGGGGAAATATGTACAAGACTGTTCAAATAAACTATTGCAGAAAAGTTCGAGACTATGACTGCACCATTAACTGCATGCCACCCAGATCGACCTGCAACTCAATGGAGCTCTGTGGGTCCTGGACCGCTTTCTCTGCGCATGGGTCCAGCCTTGGAGCTCTCTGCGCTCATTTCCAAAACGGAGTCATGAAAAACTCATGACCATAGAGTGACTACAGTATCTACATGTATCTACAACTACATTTCACAACGTGTATATACATGCATATATATATAGTATTTATATATGTTATATATATATATACTATATTTAATTATTCTTATCAACTCCTTGAGTTAACTGTTCAGCCATCACTTGGGATGACCTCCCAAAAAGTTCTCCGTCTGCGCTACGCTGCATCTAAGTGGCCAATATGCAGCAGATTCACAACCCCACGGAACGTGCTCCGCACACCCTGACTTCGCTGAGAACGTCTCCATCTTGCGAGCCGTCTTGCGGAAAAAAAACGGACTTGCTGGATGTATCAAGTTGCAAGGCAGAGTCCAAGTGCACCAAGAGTCCAAGATCACATCGAGGAATCATGAGGAATCTGCAAGAAAATCCGTGAAGTTCTCTTTTCACGCTTAGATCTGGAAGGAAGATGTGCACTTTCCTTCCAGTGTCTCTTTCGGATTAGCCTGGCTGGTCCTTTGGCCTGTCGGAAAGAAAACCAGCTACGACAGGCAAGAGCTGTGCAGAGACATCCAAAAACTTTGAGATAATGAAACCATATCTTTAGAAATGGATGGGAGGAAGTACAACATCCTTTTGCAAAGAAACTATGCTTAAAAGTACGTAACAGTACATGTGTGTACAGACATACTATCTACATCTATCTACAGTAGGAGAAACCATGAAAGGAAAATCAATACCAAATGTATCACATTGCAATGGCGGCCGCACAGCTCTCCCTAGCGCCAGAAGCTTCCGGCCGAATGGCCATGGGGCCATGAAGCTACCGCTTCACAAAACCGAAGGTTGCCAAATGCCCAAGGCATAGAGCACCTGAAGCGTTCTGTCAACGCTCGCAGCAATTTTTGGGAATCACAGCCAACATATGACTCATAATGTCAGAATCTGACAAAATCTGATAAAATCTGACATCCATCAAGATCCCATATGGTTTACCTATGGTTTACCTATGGTTTACCTATGGTTTACCTATGGTTTATCCCGAAAATGGCCCTGGCCACCCTGGCCGCCCTGGCCGCCCTGGCCGCCGCCTGCACCAACGCCATGTCCCGCAGCATCGTCACCGCACCCGTCAGGAGATTCAACTTGGAGCCAGGCATCTCCACCCAGGTCACGGGCACCTCAGCCACACCTTTTCCAAAGATGCTGCCAAGGATAAGGACCTGAGCTCAGCACAGAAATCAGCACAGAAATCACTGAATTCACACGTGGAATACGTCGAAAAATGGTTGCAATGTTTTTTGAGAAGAGCGGTGAGAAATGGAGAAATGATGAGAAATGTGTATCAGAATCAGCATGAATCAGCAATCGTGTTCATTGGCGTCAGGATCTTTTCGAGGAGGTAACAAACGAACGACCGGAAACGACCCGATGTCCGACGGGACCTCAATGTCGAAGGCCCATCGGTAGAGGTGAAGCGAAGCAAAGATCTGCTTGCCGACCTGGCAACACTGTCAACATTGCGAGGAAATCGTTGCAGTTTCAGTGGAAATCACACATCTTCATTGGCACTCACCGACTGATTGAAGGCGGAATCATGCCATCGATTTCAGTAGCAACCGGGCTTGCGGAGCATTGGCTTTGAAGAGCTTGAAGCCACACTGGGTATCTTTCACGTTGCCACCCACCTCAAACGACTCACATGGACTCAGCTGGCCATGGGCCCTATGATGTCATGACACTGGGGTGAAGGCCAACAGCCAGACGGCAAAGTGGAAGCCGACCATCAAGACGTTTCGATACCACGCCCTGACGTCATCCACAATCATCCAGGGAATCATCCAGAGAATCTCTGACATATATACCTCTAATATACATATATATATATAATTATATAGTAATATATATATATATCATCTAATCTGATGGCGTTTCACTTTGACCCATAGCATTTCATAGCCACCATGGCCACATGGGAACATGACAAAAAACGCATTGCCACCATGCGCCTTTTGTTCAAAGCCTCCTCTCGAAGATGATGTCTAGAGCCAAAGGCGATATGTGGAGAATCATCCTGCAATCCCAGATGCAGCGCAACCAGCTTTTGCTCCGATGTTTTTTGCTGTGTTCATCATGTTCACAAAAAAAAAAGTCATCTCTAGCTACAGACTCTCTCTCTAGTGATCCAACCAACATCATTCAACGATCATTCAACGATCATTGGTGGTTTAAAAAGAGCAATTGGTTTGCTGCTATCCCGGCTATCCCTTGGATTTATGGATTTTTTTTTCTGGTTTTCAGTTTCACTGTCGGCCCACTGTCGGCCCTTGCCGTCCTTGGGGCCTAAGGCTCTTTCAAGTCGTTCCAAATCGCGGATGCTCGTGGCACCATCAGCGTCCGCCATGAGCAAGAGTTGCCCTGCAACCAATCCAATGGGAACTTGTTTCACCGGGATGGTCGAAAAAAATGGTGATACCCGGCCTGGTCAACATGCAAAAAACTATAGAAAATCACCATGTTTTATGGGTAAATCAACTATAAATAGATATAAATAGTCATGTTCAATAGCAAACTGTTAGTTTACCAGAGGGTAGATGGTGAGAAAGATCCGAAGAAAGACCATCAAAGACCATTTTTAAGACCTGTCGAAGACCTGTGGGGTGTGAAAAGATGTGAAAAGCCTCTCGCAGCCAGCATGCCAGTGCGCACGGCAAATCCTTTTCCACCTGGCACCAGATTATCTGGTGACTTCTGTTCTGTCGTTAATGTCAGAAACTTCGGCTGAAACCATGGCACGATGTCATCCTTCAATCATCAGCACATTGGGAAAGCTATGACAGCTACCCTCTGGTAATCTAACATAACTATGGAGAATCACCATGTTTAAATATGTTTAATGGGTAAATCAATTTTGACTGTGCCATTTTCAACAGCAAACTGTTTGTTTACCTATGACAGCTATGGGGGGGATCGATGATGATCGATGCAGAACCAGGGGACGGTTGGTCAGCAGCTTGATGATCCGGACTTCACCATGTTGCAAGGAAGCATCCCTCAGCAGCGACAAAACGATGTCACAAACACGCCAACTGTCGTCAATCGAAATCAGAACAACAGAAATTTCTCATGATCAGTCATCTCATGTAAGGCCTAAGGGGATATAGCCCCAAAATATGGCCAACCATATGGTACTAACGTACCTCCATCTGTTGGATCCTGGAGATCTCCCATCATATTTCAATCATGAGATTCTGAGATCAAGATCCAAGGGACCTGGAGGATAAGGCCTGGGCGCGGCTTGCGCGGACCAATTTGAGCAAAGCAACATGTTTCATACCCGGTCCCACCCATGAGTCCAGTCCATCTTCGGAAGCCATAGTTCATTGATGTTCATTGATATTCATTGATGTTCATTGAAACCGATGCTTCAATCGATGCTGATTCCAATCGGAGTCCACCTTTTTTTCTGGCCAATTTCCATCAGAGAATGATCCGAAAAAAATTCGAAAAGGACACGTTCCCCCCCTATGCTCCGAAACACGGCTGCATAGGTATTGTCACTGCTGCCGTCGTCCACGACAATGACCTGCTAGGACCCAGTCACCATGGAAAATCCAGTTTTGTCGCCATGACATGATCGATCTGTTTGGCCATGGCTTTACCATGGCTTTTAGCATCTGAAAAAAAATAACATGGTGAAACATTGTGAAACTATCTATATCTATCTATCTATCACTCATCTATCATATCACATGTCTATCATGGTTTGATCATTCACTATCTATCCATTTATCATAGATACTCATACTCTATCATAGATATTCATACTCATGATCTATCAAACTATGTATCATGGTTTGATCATTCACTATCAATAGATAATCACTATCAATAGATAATCTATCATGTAAAACATGGCATGTTTCTTGCATTGCCATAGCACCTCATAGGTGAAGGATGCCACATCACTGCCCCGGCTCTCCAAATATGCCAAGGCTTCATCCAACATCTGCGGAAGTCGATACTCCTCGGTCTGGAGGCTGTTGTTTTCTGGTTCCAATCAGTTACCCTCTGGTAAACATACAAAAAACTATGGGGGATCACCATTTTCAATGGGAAAATCCACTATTTCTATGGCCATTTTCAATAGCTGCGTTAAATTACCAGAGGGTCAACAACAAAACACCAAAAAGATGGATCACAGATTGATATAGATTGGTAACAGTTAGTGGATTCTCTGAAATTCTGAACTTAGAACATCTAAGAAAACATCTTATATAGTGCTCTGAAAAACAATTTACAAAGATGAAACGCAAGTACATGCAAGTACCATCAGGTAGCATCAGGTAGCATCAGTTGTCTTCCCAAACTGCCCCGCATTTGTTGATCCAAAAACCGCGTCCTCGTTGTATGCGGGCACTACTACGGAGAGGGCCACTTCCGGCGCTTTCCATGGTGCTGGCACCAGTTCGCCAGGCGCGCACTGAAAGGAAGTCCTGCCACAATCGACCAATGCACAGAGAATATTGATGAAAATTCATGTGAACATTGATGAACAAATTGTATGTTCATTTCAACACAGTCCAAAATGTTGAACTTACAAAGTCACATCATAAGTCATCACAAGTCATCCAAGTCCATGTCACATTTTGCTGTCACATGAATGTCACATGAACACCATTTCAATGGCGATAAGCGCGAAGCGCGAAGCCCATAAGATCCATTCAGCCATTCAGCTCCTAGAGATTTGAGATTCCAAGGGTTTGCCGCAACTGTAGCGCCAATCCAGGTACCTTTCCAAAAAACGCGACAGCGAAGCGGCGACTCGCGACGCGCGACTCGAGCTGAGTTCTCCACGGTTTCAGGAAGAAAGCGGCAAGTGCAACCGCCACTCCAAAGGCCAGCAGCAAAAATATCTCCATGATGAGGATGCGAAGGATGCGAAGGATGCGAAGGATGCGAAGGTTTGGGCGAATCTTGCGATGTGGTGAAATAGCTGCCGTTTATGCTCTGGATTTCCTGCTCAACTCTGGATCTATTTGGTCAAAATTCAATATTCAACTCTACAATTTCTCAGAATTCAAGAATTTCAGGAAAAATATCCCTCCCAAATGGTGCAGCTGTGTGGAGAGCATCTTCACCTGCTCGGTTTGCTAGGCTTGCCTTCCAGCTGCTACTCTTGACATGTCTCAACCATCTTCAACTCAGTCCTTCGATTGCTCATGTGCCACTTCAAGCTGCGAAAAATCGAAAAACACATATCTTTCTCAGGCCTTGTACCTTGCATGCCTTCCATGCTGGCAAGGTAGCGACCGTAGCGACGCGTAGTCACATCATACACTGTGATACACTGTGATACACTGCCACATTTTCATCTTTTTGTCGACGCCCAGCTGGCTGTACAAAGCCGGAGTGACTGACAAATCTCAGAAGCATCTCAGAAGCATCTCAGAAGCATCTGAGAATGGTAAAGAAACGTCGAATTTCAAATTTCAAACCGAAGGAGCCACTGCCACTCCGTGGTGTACCCATCGATATCAGAATTCTTTAGATATCTTTAAAGATATCTTTAGCTGTGCTTTAGCTAAGCAGTTTTAGATGGCTTTAGCATTTGGCCCTCTTCTGAAGGGCTTTGGTCTTCATCACAATCTGCAGAGCCAGCCTGGATGCATCGTTGCTGAGCTTTGCATTCTGCTCCTCTGAAGCCTCAATACGTTTTCGCGTTTCGATCAAGTCATTTTCCTCCTTGTCCATGTCATTCATGTACCTTTCCAACAGGGATCCGGTGCGCACGTGTTCCATGGATTTGATGTTCTCCCGCAATCTCGTCTGGTTCTCAAAGATCCTCACGGATGCAAACTTGATCAATGCACGGGCTTGAGTTGTCTGAGGGACGAATCCAATGTTTGAAAAAATCCGCCGACCCCGGCCTTCGCCAAGGCAGGGGCGGCGCCTGGGACCACCGCAGGTGTGGAACTTGTCTTTCTTAGCAACAGGCATCCCAAGGCCACATCCATGGCTTTTTATGGGCGTCCACGCTTGCCGTTTGCCAGCCCTAAAACGCTCCAAACCCCTAAAACCCCTCAAAGGCACTTCCATGGCTTCTTATGGGCTTCCAGCGCAGGCAAAAGCCCACATCCATGGCTTTTTATGGGCGTCCAAGCTTGCCGTTTGCCAGGCCTCAAACCCTCCAAACCCTCCAAACCCCTAAAACCCCCTCAAAGGCCCTTAATGGCTTCTTATAGGCTTCCACGCCCACATCCATGGCTTACTTATGGGCGTCCAACCCTCCAAACCCCCTAAAAAAACCCCTAAAACCCCTACAAGGCCACTTCAATGGCTTCTTCTGGGCTTCCAGCGCAGGCAAAAGCCCACATCCATGGCTTTTTATGGGCGTCCAAGCTTGCCGTTTGCCAAGCCTAAAACCCTCCAAACCCCTCAAACCCCTACAAGGCCACTTCAATGGCTTCTTATGGGCTTCCATCGCAGGCAAAAGCCCACATCCATGGCTTTTTATGGGCGTCCAAGCTTGCCGTTTGCCAGGCCTAAAACCCTCCAAACCCTCCAAACCCCTAAAACCCCTAAAACCCCTACAAGGCCACTTCAATGGCTTCTTCTGGGCTTCCAGCGCAGGCAAAAGCCCACATCCATGGCTTTTTATGGGCGTCCAAGCTGGCCGTTTGCCAAGCCTAAAACCCTCCAAACCCCTCAAACCCTACAAGGCCACTTGAATGGCTTCTTATGGGCTTCCATCGCAGGCAAAAGCCCACATCCATGGCTTTTTATGGGCGTCCAAGCTTGCCGTTTGCCAGGCCTAAAACCCTCCAAACCCTCCAAACCCCTAAAACCCCTAAAACCCCTACAAGGCCACTTCAATGCTTCTTCTGGGCTTTCATCGCAGGCAAAAGCCCACATCCATGGCTTTTTCTGGGCGTCCAAGCTTGCCGTTTGCCAGGGCTAAAACTCCAAACCCTCAAACCCCTAAAACCCCGAAAAGGCCACTTCAATGGCTTCTTATAGGCTTCCAGCGCCCACAACCATGGCTTTTTATGGGCGTCCAAGCTTGCCGTTTGCCAGGGCAAATAGAACCCTCCAAACCCTCCAAACCCCTAAAACCCCTACAAGGCTACTTCATGGCTTCTTCTGGCTCCAGCGCAGGCAAAAGCCGCACATCCATGGCTTTTATGGCGCTTGCCGTTTGCCAAGCCTAAAACCCTCCAAACCCCTCAAAACCCTACAAGGCACTTCATTCTCTTATATGGGCTTCATCGCAAGCAAAAGCCACATCCATGGCTTTTTAATGGGCGTCCAAGCTTGCCGGTTGCCTGCCTAAAACCGCTCCAAACCCCTCAAACCCCTACAAGGCCACTTCAATGGCTTCTTATGGGCTTTTATCGCAGGCAAAAGGCCCACATCCATGGCTTTTTATGGGCGTCCAGCTGCGTTTGCCAGGCCTCAAACCTCCAACCCTCCAAACGCCCTAAAACCCTCAAAGCCACTTCAATGGCTTCTTATAGGCTTCCAGCGGCCCACATCCATGGCTTCTTATGGCGCCAAGCTTGCCGTTTGCCAGGCCTAAAACCCTCCAAACCCTCCTAAAACCCTCCAAACCCCTAAAACCCCTACAAGGCCACTTCAATGGCTTCTTCTGGGCTTCCAGCGCAGGCAAAAGCCCACATCCATGGCTTTTTATGGGCGTCCAAGCTTGCCGTTTGCCAAGCCTAAAACCCTCCAAACCCCCCTCAAACCCCTCTAAAACCCCTACAAGGCCACTTCAATGGCTTCTTCTGGGCTTCCATCGCAGGCAAAACGCCCACATCCATAGCTTTTTATGGGCGTCCAAGCTTGCCGTTTGCCAGGCCTAAAACCCTCCAAACCCTCCAAACCCCTAAAACCCCTAAAAGGCCACTTCAATGGCTTCTTCTGGGCTTCCATCGCAGGCAAAAGCCCACATCCATGGCTTTTTCTGGGCGTCCAAGCTTGCCGTTTGCCAAGCCTAAAACCCTCCAAACCCCTCAAACCCCTACAAGGCCACTTGAATGGCTTCTTATGGGCTTCCATCGCAGGCAAAAGCCCACATCCATGGCTTTTTCTGGGCGTCCAAGCTTGCCGTTTGCCAGGCCTAAAACCCTCCAAACCCCTAAAACCCCTACAAGGCCACTTCAATGGCTTCTTCTGGGCTTCCAGCGCAGGCAAAAGCCCACATCCATGGCTTTTTCTGGGCGTCCAAGCTTGCCGTTTGCCAGGGCTAAAACTTTCCAAACCCTCCAAACCCCTAAAACCCCGAAAAAGGCCACTTCAATGGCTTCTTATAGGCTTCCAGCGCCCACAACCATGGCTTTTTATGGGCGTCCAAGCTTGCCGTTTGCCAGGCCTAAAACCCTCCAAACCCTCCAAACCCCTAAAACCCTTAAAACCCCTAAAACCCCTAAAACCCCTACAAGGCCACTTCAATGGCTTCTTCTGGGCTTCCAGCGCAGGCAAAAGCCCACATCCATGGCTTTTTCTGGGCGTCCAAGCTGGCCGTTTGCCAAGCCTAAAACCCTCCAAACCCCTCAAACCCCTACAAGGCCACTTGAATGGCTTCTTATGGGCTTCCATCGCAGGCAAAAGCCCACATCCATGGCTTCTTATGGGCGTCCAAGCTTGCCGTTTGCCAGGCCTAAAACCCTCCAAACCCTCCAAACCCCTAAAACCCCTAAAACCCCTACAAGGCCACTTCAATGGCTTCTTCTGGGCTTTCAGCGCAGGCAAAAGCCCACATCCATGGCTTTTTCTGGGCGTCCAAGCTTCCCGTTTGCCAGGGCTAAAACTTTCCAAACCCTCCAAACCCCTAAAACCCCGAAAAAGGCCACTTCAATGGCTTCTTATAGGCTTCCAGCTGACCGATGTCTTGGGGTGTTTCACAGTCTTTCATCCTGGTGGCGTCGCCACAATGACGTCATGAGTATTCCCCAATTTCTATCATCATTCCACTTTTGCGCATGGAATGCATGTAATGTACTATATATATATACATACGTATGTTTAACAATGTTTAGGCCTAGCCGTTTGCTGGGCTTCTTGCGTGGCTCTATGTCTGCGCACTTCTTCCTCCACCCTTGAAAAGGGGTCGGCGGCACCAGGGCGTTAGCCCATTTATTACAAACAAATCAAGATAATCAAGTGTCCACAAGAAGCACATTCTTTGGATCTGTATACCTTTATTGGGTGTTTTTAGCCTCAAGTTGCATCAACATGTTCACCAAACATGTTCACCAATTATATTCACACTATTTCAGACCTACGCGAACCAAGCATCTTTGCGACCCGGCTGTTGTCCGTACTCTGCTTGCGTTGATTCTCTTTGGTCTCGGCTGTCTTCGACTGCAACTCTCGAATTTGGGCCAAAATCCTGAGAAATTCAGGACTGTGGACACCAAACTGGGCTTACTAAGTTCTACTAAATTCTACTTACCGTAGTCTATCCTTGAGAAAAGGCTAGCCCAGGATTGAAAACATGGGATTAACATGGAATAGTAATCATAAGAAAGGCAGAATATGATTAATCATGATTAATCCATAATCATCATTTATTAATAATGATCATAACTTAATTAACTTCTCAATAACTTCATAATATCTATCTTACGGCAAAGAATCTCTCGCACATCAGAGGCAAGTCGATCTGGATCGCTAACCAAGGTGGATTCGTCGGCCGACCAAGGGCATTCCCGCTGTTCCCAGTTCAGCAACTGTTCTTCGGAAATGTTCTTGGGCTCCAGGAAAGCTTTCAACATCGATGCCAAACGCCTTTCGACAAAGCACAGCAGGCCAACTAAGAACAAACACTTCGGCTTGCCGATGGGAAAAAAAGGGGAACAGCAAAAGAGGGGAGGAAACGAAAGGGAAAGGAATCAAGGGCAGGAGAAACAGATAGAAACAGTAGCAACACTCAGAGGAATACAATGCGTTTGACAAGGACACAGGACTAGGGAAAAAATGCATCAACGACGCATCGGCCAACGGCATATTCAAATGCGCTAAGCCCAAAATCATGAGAGGCAGGGGATGATACCAAAAGCCATGGCAGTCATGATCAAAGGTATGACCTGACGATGTTGGCCGCATTTCGTTTGGAGATATCTCTGCATGTTGTCTTGCTGTAGAACCAAATGTGTTTTTTTCACCCAAGCCCTTTCAGGAATTTCAGGAACGTCGAGCTGTCAAAGCTAGTGCTTGCAAGAATCTTTACCTGCATACCTGCTCTGTGTTGTTTAGTGGAAGTATGGACCGGCAGAAGTCTCAAAATCTCTCAAAATCTCACTCCAAACCGAATTGCGGAAGTTTTACATGTTTTTTTTTAAACATGTTTTTGGCACTGTCCCAGGCACAGCCGAGCCAGGCTTCGATGAAGGACTTTGATGGAATTTTCGTCCAGGACCTGCTGAAGTTCTTCCATCGTCTTGGCGCGCGACAAGAAGCGGCTGATGCCGGCCTCGTTCAGCGGGATGCTCTCCTCGTAGTTGGCCTCTTCTGAGACCTGAAGTCACATAAATCACGATGCAACAAACATCAACAAATCACCCGGTAAATATACTGGTTGGTGGTGGTTTTAACCATCTTGAAAAAAATGAGTTCGTCAGATTGGGAAGGATGACATCCCATATATGAAATGGAAAATAAAATTCATCTTTGAAACCACCAACCAGTATATGATTTAGTCTGACTTCAAACATGACTTAAGACTTAATTATGTAGTCTTATGATAAGTGACTTGCATCACGTATGTCATGACTGGATTCAAAGTGCAAGCCGATGGCAACTGATGTGGATATTTCGGCAGTGCACACAATGGGACCAGAATGCTTTGTTCGAAGTGTGAAGCCTGATGAAACACCTGAAACAAAGCCTGAAACGGTCGCAAAACTGTTAAACTGGCCTATCCAATCTTCACGAAGTGTCACAAATTCTGGATTGATGATGTTCAAATTGTTTCATGTTGTGAAAAATATGTTGTTACACATATTGCTACACATATTGCCACATATTGCGGTGTGGCACTGGCCCACTGGATCCCTTTGGCACCTCCAGACTGAGATCAGCTTCGGGTTCCACAGAGAGGCAGAAACGAGCCCAGCCTGAGATCGAACCGTCGGTCGCCAACTCGGTGTGGAAAAAAACGGTGAAAAAACGTCCAAATGACAGGCGATATGTGGCGACTAGGGTAGCTCTGACTCAGCTTTCTGGTTATTTTGGGCAATGATTAGAATGATTTGAGTTCTGTTGTTTTCCTTTGCCACTTCAACTAATAATAACTAAAAGTCAGAATATTCAGAATATTCTCTGTTATTCACTTCAGTTTATCGTAGCTCATGTGCCTTTGGCCATGCCATGTCCCGAATGATCGCCATGTGCCCTGTGCCCAGCCTGTGGTCTGCTTCACACAGTGGCTGGTGGAGGTGATGGAAAAGCCGCCACAATCCGTCCTCGCTGTGTGTTCAATGTAGAGGCACGCAGCCGCTTTGGTTCCATTGTTCTTGATGGAATATCTGGTGGTCACCTGGCTACAGTGATCCAAGATGCATTTTTTCAGATGGCCATGTTCATCCTGTTCCAAACGAACTTGGAAGACTCGATCCTGTTGCAGCTCACTGGGTTTACACCTTCCCACTGACACGGTGGTATCCTCTCCCAGCTCGATCAATTGATCGTCTCCAGGAATCATCGGGGTGAACTGACATTGGGCCACAAAACGACCAGCATCCAAGACGTTCACCGAGCCATTGGCCAAGACATGTTCCGAGGTATTCACCAAATGAACGGCGCGTTTCACGCAGACCTCAGAGGCTTTGGGATCGTAGACCAAAACTCGATCGCCTCTCACGGAGTGTTGGAAGATGGGTACAATCGCTGTCTCCTCGAGCGAATGGTCACACGATCTGAGACTTGATAAAGGACGTGCTCCGCCAAGCCTTTCGTTGCAAGTCCTGAAAGAGCGAAAAAAGATATTGCAGATATCCAGAATATCGAAAAATCGATCCAGAGATCACACAAAATACACAAACATCAGGAATTGAAACAGACCGGAATCATCGAAATCCGGTATTGAAGATATTGAAACATATTGAAACCACCCAAGACTTCACTGGGAGCGTTTTGAATTTTCTCCATGTCCTTCCTTGCTGCTTAGAATACACATGTTTAGAATACGGACATGTCAGACTATGTTTTACATGCTTTTCATGAGAAATGGACCGGAACTTTTCAGCTCTTTTCAGCTCTGGGGTCCTTCCAAAGACTCAAAGTCTTCTGCCGCATCCACGGCTTTTCGGGAAGGTGCCCAAACCTCTTGTCCACGCAGACGAAGGACCAAGTGAAGCGTTGACTCTTTCTGAATGTTGTAATCTGCCAGCGTCCGACCATCTTCCAATTGCTTCCCAGCAAAGATCAAGCGTTGCTGGTCAGGAGGTATTCCTTCTTTATCTTGGATCTTGGCTTTGATTTGTTCCACAGCATCAGAACATGAAACATCTAAGGTCACAGTCTTTCCAGTCAAGGTCTTGATGAAAATCTGCATGGCGCCTCCGAAGTTCTTCACCTCTTTCACGATCTTAGCCAGTTCCTGGCGCGGGATAGAAGAATCTGCTCAATTCAAAGCACATCAAAAAGCACCTCATAAGTATATATGTAATCTATAATGTATGTATATATATATATTTATTATTATTATGTATATTATTATATATATTATTATATATATATTATATATATATATTATATATATATATTATATGTATATATATATTATATGTATAATAGATAACTAGCACAAGTATGTTTGTTTTTTTAGTACACCTCATACATCACAGCGCAGGGCTCGCTGTGCAAACCTCCCCTTTTGTCCTGACGAGCTGGCTCAGTTCCGACAGCTAAGATGGACAACTCGTTGGCCACAAGATGCAAGTCCTGATCGGCTACGGATGTTTTTCCGACATGGCAAAGCTGATCAAAAAAACATGACCAATGTGAAATCATGTAAAAAAAATTGTAAAAAAAAAACATGTAAAAAAAAAACGTGTGAAACCAAGAAGCCACATCAATCCAGTCATCTTCTGTGCTGTTGCGCACATGGCCAAAGGTGTGAAGGGTGACGGATGCATTGGAGTCGACAGAATTCACCACCACCAAGTCCATATCCTCTCGTGGTAGATCCAGACGGTACATGCACTTCCATTCCTCGCATCTATCCTCAGATGTCATAGTGTCATGATGACACAACAAAAAAAAACATGTGATATATGTGATAGGGAAGAAAAAAAATGATCAACAAAATGAAATCGAAATCCGGATTGAAACGGCTCAGAGGCTGCCAAGGCCTTCATTGATCCTTTTCTCCTAGAAACTGGAACACGCTCGCCAGGTTTTTCTGAAATATCTGACATCTAATCGGTTAACGGAAGTCATTATGTCAGGGTGGAATTGGATCAATTGGAGCAATTGGATCCGAGTCTCAACATAGGACACCTGGCAATTTCCCGTGTTTTCCGATGTTCTGGCTCGGATGGAAATGATTTCCCGATGGTCTTTTGGTGGCGGCAGAGGCTTGGGCAATTGCTTTTCCAAAGTCGCTAGCAGGGATTTGCTGAGCTGGTCTTGCATCTTTGGGTCAACCAAAGAGACGTCCACGACGTTCTGAAATGGGATCTTTCGGATGGAAGCCATGGAACCCTCCTCGAAAATCTGCAGAGATGCAAAATATTCTTCTGTTTTATCTTTGGAACCCTCAATGACACGTTGGGCCCTCTCTACCATGAGCAATAGTCCAGTCTTGGAGATCTTGCTGTCAAGAGTGATGGAAACCTTGGCCCCTCTGCATGATTCCAGGAAGGCTCCCATGCTGCTGTGGTTGAAAGGATATGTGGTTTCTCCCATCTCTGCACGATTCGGATTTTGCTGTCCGAAAATGATGGAAGCGCCACCCGGGGCGGAAGCCGACAGCGTGTTCACCACCTGACAGCCCACCGGCCAGAAGCAGCTAACATTTCTGTAGGGTGTTTTTTGGCTTCGTGTCTGCAAGAAGAAAGGCAGAAATCGATAAAAATCGTTCAAAACGTTCGAGATTCAAATCCCTTGTATTTTTTGGAACATGTTCAGGACGAGGCCGGTTTGGTATCCCCAAATTTTTGGCCCCTAAAAATCCGACAGGTTCGACAACGGCGTGGACGGCGCACCAATTGACGTCGTGTTTCAGGGACACGAAGCTCAAAATCTGTCCACCCTGGCTCAGAGCTAATAGAAAAATTCATGGAAATTGAAAGGCCTGCATAAATTGTTGGAAACCATGGAAACTTGCAAGTGCAAACATCAAATCAAGAATCCTGAAATTATGCTACTTGTTTGTCCACATAATCAACATGACATTCTGAACATTACAAGACCACATGGTCATGTTTTGTCATTCTTTGCAATGCTGTCACTGTGCCAAGACTTTGCCAGGTGCACCAACCTCATTTTGAGTCAAAGATCCCTGACGTTCTGCAAAGGCCAGATTGTTTTTGTAGAGCGTCACTCGAGAGAGCGAAAGGCTAGTCATTGGCAGAGGCCTCGGTAAAAGGGTTCATCATCCCACTTGCAGAACAAACAGGTGGTGGACACTGGTGGACACTAAGCCTTTGACTGCTTAAGTGATGGGAAATTCGGCCCGAATTGACAGTTCGAAACTGGAAATGGCGCCAATGCGTCAGGCAACAAACTGAAACTCCCTTGAACCAAAAAAAACAACAGGACACAAACAACACAACAAAATACTACCAGGTTCCCAAAAAAATACAACAAAACATTTGGTGAAAGTTCAATGACAAGTGAAGTACAGTATAGGAACAGTGAAAAAGCGAAGGGTAGAACCCAATCTGTATTTGTTTCCCGATGTTCATTCCAAACATTCTGCGCACACTGTTACGGACGAAAAGGCACGCCAATGCATCCAGTTTTTTGGTTGTGAGAACGGCCATGGAGTTCGATGTTGGCCTCAAAGTTCCAAGACAAGGTAATGTTCAAGGGGCGGGTAAGCACGGGGTTACCCATTGTTCGCGTTTAAATCGCAAAGAAAAAAACGTACGCATGTGATTTGTCAGAGCTAATACCCTCACCAGAAGTATGCTCACCACACCAGGTTGCAACATGGGAAAAAACAACAAAACATATGAAAACATAGTAAACTTTGTGAAAACAATTGAAGTCGTATGTGCACGCAAAAATAACAGAAGGAAGTTTAGAAGTCAAACTTCCGACAACATGGGCAAATGAAAAGCAAAGGTGGGAAGAGTCAAAGAAGAGAAGACAGGAAGAAAGGAGATCCAAAAAGAGAAAGTCTGAGCAAAAAAATCCAGGCGCGCGAAAAGGTAGGAAAGCCGCAAAACAACTTGTTTTTCCAATTATTTGTGGCTCCGGAGGGTCAAAAAGTAGGCTCGTTAAAGCGGCGGGTGCGGAGCCAGCTGGCCAGATGAGAGATGAAAAATTGCACGCCGTTGTGGCGCGAAGCGCATTTGCAAGTGAAAAAATTAAAACAGCGCACGTTCGGAGCACTTTTGGAAAGTGCACGCCGTTGTGGCGCGAAGCACATTTCCAAGTCAAAATGTACAAAGCACACCAGGTTCGGAGCACTCTTGGAAAATGCGATGTTGAAAAAGTGCACGCCGTTGTGGCACGAAGCACATTTCGAAGTCAAAATGTTAAAAACAGCAAGGGTTCGGACTACTTTTGGAGGTTCAGATGTCGTTTCGCGTGACAGCGCAAGGGATTGTGCACTTTGTCAAAAGTAAGCAAAACGTGAGGGTTTTGTGGCATTTCCAAAAATGATGGCAGGCATGGGACATTTGAAGAGGGTCTGCAAAGATGCATTTTCCGTGGCAGGCGCAGTTCAAGAGACATGTTCATCAGAACTGTTAGGAGGTCCGGGCGCTGATTTCCTGAGAAGGGTTGCATTTTGGAGCATCAGATCTTCAGGTTTGTTGAGGTGATTTTGCGTGACAAGTGCTGATCTGGCATCATTTTTTCGTGGCAGGCGCAGTAGTTTAAACAAATGGACTGGAAAAATCACAAAACGCATTGGTACGAGGCCGTCACCGCTGCACGCAACTTTCCATTTTTGAAAGAAGTCTCGCAGAATTGCTTCGTTTTTGATGTTGTCAACTTTGAAAAATGAAGTCTCGCAGAATTGTTTCGTTGTTGATGTTATCATGTTCAAACATTGAGGAAGTCTCGCAGAATTGCTGCGTTTTTGATGTTGTCAAGTTCAAAACCTGAGGACGTCTCGCAGAATTTGATGTTGTCAAGTTCAAAACCTGAGGACGTCTCGCAGAATAGCTTCGTTTTCGAGCTTGCAGATAGACAGGTAGATAGATAGACAGACAGATAGATAGAGATAGATAGGCAGACAGACAGACAGACAGATAGATAGATAGATAGGTAGATAGGTAGATAAATAGATACATACTTAGATAGACAGATGAAATTAGATTAGATTAAATTAGATTAGATTAGAAAAGATAGATAGATAGATAGATAAGATAGATAGATAGATAGATAAATAGATAGATAGATAGATAGATAGATCGATCGATAGATAGATAGATGGATAGATAGATAGATGGATAGATGGATAGATAGATTAGATTAGATTAGATTAGATTAGACTAGATTAGATTAGATCAGATCAGATTAGATTAGATTAGATTACTGTAGATAGATAGATAGATTGATTGATTGATAGATAGATAGATAGATACGTAGTTAGAAAGATACATAAGGTAGATACATAAATACGTAAATAGACAGACAGACAGACAGACAGAGAGAGAGAGAGAGATAAATTTTAGATAGGTAGAGAGATAGATAGATAGATAGATAGATAGATAGAAAAGGTAGATAGATAAATAGGTAGATAGACAGACAGACAGAGAGAGAGAGAGAGAGAGATTTTAGATAGATAGATAGACAGATAGATAGATAGGTATAGATAGATAGACAAGTAGATCGATAGATGGATAGATAGATCGATCGATAGATCCATAGATCGATAGATGCATAGATCGATAGATCCATAGATCGATAGATCGATAGATGATAGATCGATAGATCCATAGATCGATAGATCGATAGATGATAGATCGATAGATAATTAGGTAGACAGACAGACAGACAGGGAGGGAGGGAGGGAGGGAGGTAGAGAGAGAGAGAGAGAGAGGGAGAGAGAGAGAGAGAGAGAAGAGAGAGAGATGGATACATAGATAGATAGGTGCCTGGGTAGGTAGGTCGATAGTCAGCGAAAGAGACAGAAAGAGAGAGAAAGAGAGGAGACATCAACCATCTGTCGGTCCATCAGTGGCTTCGCGCTACCATCCGTGATTCACAACAACCAACCTCTCCTATAGGTTTCCTATTTTTGAAACTTCCGCCACCGCCTTGTGCGGTACTACTGTTAACAATAAAATAAAAACACACACCACATAAATAACAAATAGTTGCAATTAAACAAGATGCAGCCCACAAACCCCAATGCTCACACTTATGTTACTGGTACAGATGCCGAAACACATGGATATGCAGTCACGCAGAACACTTTTCTGAGACAGTTTATTTGAACAGTCCTGTACATTTTTCCCCTGTTACACCAGTGCACCGTAGACTGTGAAATATGGAAGAGGGTGGCGTGCTAAGTGTGGAGTGTAGAGTCTGGAGTGTAAAGTATGGAGTGTAAGGTGTGGAGTGTCAAGTGTAAAGTGTAAAGTGTGGAGTGTGGAGAGTACAGTGTAAAGTGTAGACTGTAAAGTGCAGAGTGCGGAGTGTAAAGTGCGGAGTGCAAAGTCCAGAGTGTAAAAAGTAGTGTGTGGAGCGTAAAGTGTCGAGTGTGGAGTGTCGAGTCTGGAGTGAGGAGTGAGGAACGTAAAATGTAAAGAAAGTGTGGAGTGTAGAGTGTAGAATTTAAACTGGAGAGTGTA